CTCACGGGTCCTAATACCATAAACAATAAGAACTTCAATCGGAAAAGAAACATTAAGGGCCGTGAGAATAAAGGGCAGAGCTCTGAAGCGTCTTGATAACGGTCCCTAATTTAATTGACCTATGAGAAATTGAATGTCGTAATTGTAAGAAATAAAGCCATGTTTTATATCGATAATAGAAAATTCAAAACAATTACCATTGTTTCTATAAATGAATATACCTATAGCGTACACAATAGTGATCTAGAGACTTAAAGAGAAGTTTTTAATCGAAACGGTGAGTTATAAAAATATATATTGTTCATTGATGATTTATTTTAATTTCAGTTCTCTGATAATGCCATAGCTGCCTCAAGTTACAGCAGAGGTTTCTCACATCATGAATATCCAGGTATAATATTATATATTACACTAAGGTGAGAGCTGTAGCTCTATTTGGGTCGGGTAAAGTTTTTGTACGTCAATTAATGCTAAACTTACTGGACTTGTTTTGACGTGGGTGGTAAACTAAATCTTACTTCTGTGTATACTATCAGTAAATAAAGCGTTTAAAACGTTTCAACGTATTCCAATATGATTCATCTTGTACATGCAGTTCCATTCACTTTGAACTTACGTTATCTATGTTGTGGTCTGATCGTAAAATTGATCATTTGAGAAAAGGCCAATATTATACAATGGTTGTATTTAAATGGCGAGCAAAACGAGATAAATTATATTTCAACCAACGTACATTGAACAAATGGTTCGTGTAAGATTAGGTCTAATTTTGACGCCAGTTGTAATTGTTTGATGCTCCTAAGAGAGTTTTGCCTATTTTTTGGTTTATTAATTTTGAACAGCACATATTTATCTACTACGCTATCAAAGCATATATATATATATATGTAGAACAAAGCGTCTAGTGAAACCGGTATCTTATTTAATTCGAAAAACAATAATTTTGTGAAATAGCCACACTGTGAAGTGATCAACGACCTTAAGCAACGACATCTACAGTATTTTACTGAGACCCTATTAGCCAGGGACGGATCTACTTAAGGGCTGGAGCCCAGGGCCCCCAGTCCCCACAAAAGTAGGTAACAAGCGATATTATTAATTTAAAAAAATAACTGACATTTTAAGAAAAGCAATGATAAAGTTGGAATCCCTTAGATCTCAATCAACTCATGTGCGATGCGCGTCTATCGAAGGGAACGGGGAAATCCCCATCGGTTGCTTTTGGTCGGTTGTTTTTTTTCGCGTGTGCGTCTATTACGGCGGTCTTCCCCGTAATAGCCCAGAGCCCCACAAATTCACGATCCGCCCATGCTATTAGCATAATAAAAGAACTGCATTTTGTAAAACAATATATTTTTCGTTTGAAATAGGTAATGGAATATATTATGATCACGAAGAAACTCCATATTATTACGGTCAAGAACACCATAGGCCAGTTGATCATGGGCTTCATGGCTTTGAGCATGATTACCATGAATCACATGGTCATGCTAACCACGGTCATCATGTTGGACATTATCATCAGGTAAATTTCAAATAGAATAGTCTTATTATAAATTATTTAGTTTTAAACTCTCTTTTCTCATTCTACGAAAACTTTTAATAACATCTATCACAATTTTATTATTCTATAATGTACAACAGTAGGGTTAAACGTTAATTATGGTACATTCTAATTATGATGTTAGTAATATATTAACCATATTTTCGGGTAAAAAGAGCATAAGGATACGTAGATGTATTAGCTGCGTATATCAATATAGACATCCTACTAATATTATAAACGCAAACGTTTGTAAATATGGATGGATGTTTGTTACTCTTTAACGTAAAAATTACTGAATGGATTGTAATGAAACTTTACAATAATTTAGATTATACATCATAATAGCACATAGGCTACAATTGATAAAGATATTGTATAAATTGTCCAAAATTAAAGTTAGTACGAAAAAATCTACCATCTGCGAGCTATTCTAGCGTGCGCTGCGAAACCGCTAGAGTTACAAATATGGAAATTTTTATTTAAGATAAAAATTAATATGAATAGTCAATATATTTTGTAGTTTTTTTCTACGCCACGCTAATATAAGGTACTCGAAATACTAATCCTGCGCAGACGAAGTCGCGGGCACCAGCTAGTTATTAATAAAAATCGCAGCAGTAGTATTAGAGGAAAATGTAAATTAATCAAACGATATACCTGATATTAAGCACGTGCATTTGTTTCGTCATAGTTCATTAACAAGAGGAATAAATTCAATTATAACGTTACTAAAATATTTCGTTTCATTGGACATAATTACATAACATACCGAATAAATTCCTAATAATCTAATAACTATTTTTTATATTCAAGTCATTAGCAGCAAAAGCAGTTTTGTGGCCGTTAGCTGGGATTGCCCTCCTAGGGGCAGCTGCTGCCCTGGTTTCCAATCCAGTTTTACTTCAACTTGGGGTGGCTACTGGTAAAAGAAGACGACGAGATGCAGATACAGAGCCCGACGTGGCTCTAGATTGGTTACAAAATACTCCTGAAACGTGTGACGAAGAATCATGTATTGAAACTAAATCAGGTCAACCTAGCCAAATGCCTAGCAAAAGAGTTAAGAAAAAAAGGGAAAAAAACATTGAAAGGGATTTAGACTACATACGAATTCAAACGAATTAAATGATCATTACATACATAGCGACAACTTATTAACGTAACAAGAAAAACATCGAATTAACCGTTTTTGCAAATGATTTAGTTATAATCTTCTATCAAATTGTAATTTGTACATCTAATTCTAATTTAAAAGACATATACATTACAAGAAAGTATCTACTGCCTACAAAACCTACTACTAACTTACTAAAATTAAGCAAATTAAATGACAGCATGTAAAAATAAAATATAGCGCTCATATTGAATTGTATTTTTCATTAAAAGTTTACCTTTACTACTCGCCAGACATTCGATAATGCTGTGTTACACACACTGTACAATATGTATTAAACACAATAAATATCCACATTAATCACTATTACACATAAAAACAACAGAAAATCTCACTAATTATCGACAAAACTTTGTTTGTAAACCGTGAAGTTGTAACGCTCAACATAAACTGTCAAATCACAAATGCATGAAGTTGTTTGACCTTTCTCTGTGTGCGGCGTGCGTGTGCGTTGAATAACTTGCTCTCACATGCGTTTATAATCAATACATGCACTGTACTACATAATAGTATGGTTTAATTTCAATAGGTAGCTGAAGAACATAGGGGAGAAATATTTTGAATATTATGCATTTCTTAATTTAGCAATGAACTTTTCTTTGTTATATTTGATTACTTGTAATATTATTGTTTTATTGCTCTTATATACAGTCTGAAACATAGGTTTAAAGAATATTTAAATTGTTGAGTAATTGAGTATACACTATACAGTGTACACGCTTTATAACGTTATTCGTTATAAAGACTCTCTATAACGTAACTCTCTAAAACGCTCTATAAAAAAAATTGTTACATTTGTGTGGTTTAACACATAACACACATTAATTGACTCTTTATAACTCCACAGCCATTCTCTATAACGAATAAATATTTTCATATCATTAGACATCAACAACATACTTAAGTGTAATTGTTTTTATAATCAGCTTACAAAACTATCCTTTTGAGGTGCCGAAATTTCTAAGAAAGACCCCTGAGGTCATAAACTGCCGTCTCGCCTTTGTTATTGTTAATTGCATTAACACGTGCGCAAATATTATTAGATTACATTGCATGTAGGAAATTTTGGTCTCGGTTACTAAACGCAGTATTATCAGTCGTAAACAAACTTTGAAACTGTCAAGATGGCCAGTAGAAGAAAAGCGTTATTTATTATATGTTTAGAATAATTTACCTATTGATAGTAATAAAATTAGAAATCATTGTAATTGATTAAATTTGGTTGTTTTTTTCTCTCTCACGAATAAATAATGCTCGGTCCCTTGAAATTCGTTATAAAGACTTTACACTGTATTTAGTAAAATACAATAATATTGTACAGTTGTGGCCAAGTGGCTTGAGCGTACACCCTTCAACCTTTTGGTGTTCTACTCATCGCTGAGCATCAACGGACTTTTCTTTCTATGTGCACAATTTATTGTCGCTCGTATAATGAAGGAGACCCTGAGGAAACCGACATGCCTTACATCCAAAAATCGTTTCATCTATTTGCCTATTTAAAAAAAAACATTACAAAACAGATACAGAAATCTGAGGCCATGAATAGATATTATTACGCCACTGCTTATTATAACAAGCACCAAATTCTTAGTATTATTTATCTGTTTATATTATATTACAGACAATTCGTTCATTGGATCGTTTTATAATACAAAATATTGTATACGTTCACTATAATTTTATTATGTCATAATAATATACATAGGCAAATGTATATTATTATAAAAAATAAATGAAGAGCTAACAATTAGTTTTGAAATAGAATTAGGAATTATTAATATTTCATTCTTAATATATATTTTAGTTAAATGTTCTTTTGTTAAATTTAAACAATACATATAGGTACCTAAATTTTATAAGATAATATTAACGAGCATTTTCTTTATTTCTCATGTTTAAATTTTTAGTGATGTTAGCGCCATCTCTATCGTCATAATATAATCATTCCATTTGAACGTTATGATTCTGATGAAACATTTAGTTCATTTGTAATTCAAAAGGTGTCTCTAACATTAATAAATATTTTTAACGTATTGTAGCGCCATCTTTTTTACAAAATAGGATTTACATACGTAATTTTAATAAAACATCGCGTCAAAGGTGTTATGGCGCCATACGACTATACAATACTCATACAAAGATGGCGCTAAAATTAATAAAAGTTTTCAATAGAAAAGGTAGATGTCTATGCAGTACGTAGAATAATAAAAAACCATTTCATTCATCATATTCTTTAATTATTAATTGCATACAGTGGAGCATTGTAGTCCCATAGCTATATTAAACTTTGAATCCATACTGAAACAAATTAGTACGTCATACATGAATGAAACATACATTGATGACTTTATATTAAAATTAAGATTTATCTTAAGTCTCCCGATACAAATGTACTGCATTAACAGTATTGAAATATTAAAGTGTGTCTATTAAGTTATTTCTTATTTTTTCCCAAGTGTCACAGACAAAATACACAAATTACTCGAACATCAATCAGTCAACCAATAACAACAGTGATTTCCATTATTATTAAATACGTCATTCCTACACAAAGATACACGTAAACATAATTAAGTAAAATCTTACCTTAGGAGCATTTTTGACGCTACATGCAAATATTAATGCAGCTCTGTCACAGCCTTTTTCCCCGTCAGTTACTGTTTCATCGTTCACTGAAATAAAATAAAATAATCATTTCAATAGACATAATAAATGAAATATTCACATAATGTAACGTTCAACCAAAGCCAGTTTAGGTACAAAGGTTTTAAGTACAAAACATTTAAATTAACTTTATAGAACATGAAAGTTGTCTCTCGCTGACTGGTAATAAATTTTTGTGACAATAAATTAAATTAATTTAAATAAAGGAACAAAGTGTGTAGTATTATAAGTTAAATTTATTAAGTAAGTACGCGATTGTACTTAGTACATGGGTTTATTATTATAAGATTAAAAGTTTAAAAATGTTTAAACCTGAATATAATGTGCATAAAAGTAATAAATATATAAGATCATTTCTTTCGATAGATTACTTCAGTTTAGGCAATTTATATTATTACAAAAACATCCATATCGTTAAATGTCAGACTAAATTGTCTCCAAAATTAAAATTTAAAATGAGGTGCAATTTTTCGGAAGAAACCTGCATAATCATTATATACCAAAAGAACACGATTTGGCCAATTCTTTTCCTTTCTTTATCCTCTTTTCATCTCCTTTCTGGAATTCTTCAGATATTTTGTATGCCCTTTCCAAATCGTAAAGCCCCTTGTCATTCATCTGTGAAAATACGCTTTATTTTATTAATTAGTGATGGAAAAACGCATTCAAACGCAATTATTTGGTATCCCATAAACTCTACAAACCATCATAATAAGCAATTATGAAAACGGAAAATTGACTTCAACAAGCATTATTAAATAGGCCCTTTAAAGGGGAGATTCGAAGAGATTATCTTACCGTTCCTATATCACGATAAGCACAAGCCAAAATGCATTTTACTTGAGGGTCGGTGGGCGTTTGTAGAGACGCCAAGGACACCATATCTTTCATGTCTGCTTTGAATTTGGAAGCACATTTTAAGATTACTTTGGTGAATAGAGCTTTTACTTCTTCATCGGTCATTGCCTAAAAAAATGTGTTGCAATATACGATTATATTATTTTATCAGTCATGCTACAACAAAAAAAAATAGGTTTCTATTGAAATTAAGGCATTCGTGAAACTAATTGTAAAATACCCTTAATATTAAAATTAAAAGTGTTTAATATTAAAATTTTATGATTACCTTAAAATACGCTTTATATTGGAAGTAACTAATTAAATTAATCGTTTCAATAATGCGAATTTACAGGTTTAATAAATAATTTCAAATTAAATTAAATTAATAAAAAAATACTTACTCCACTCACAGTTCCACTGCATAAAACCGAAAAAAATAAACAATAAATAATGATCGACCCATTACTCAACATGGTTGTTGATTCTACCAAATCGTGTGTCGCCTTTCATTTATATATATGATTTTATCTTTATAATTACGTAAATTGTTATATTTTTACTATACTTTTTTTTAAATATTATAATTAATTGTATTAACTTTTGGTTTGGTTCAGTACGTCAACCAATTATCCTATAAGATTAATGCACAAGCATAGTAAGTGTCATATGAGCCAAATGAGAAGTAGTACTCAATTAGTTAAAGTTCTTAAGGTTTCCTAGCACATAAGAACAGAAAAAAACAGGGGAAAAACAGACAGACCTGATGTTAAGTGATACCGCCCTCCGCCCATGGACACTCAACGCCAGAGGGCTCGTGACTGCGCCACCGGCCTTTTAATCGGTGCGCTCTTTTCTGGAAGCACCCTAAGTCGAATTGGTTCAAAAATCAGTGATTACTTTAAGTGTGATTTGGGTCGAAAAATCCAACTCTATAACCAAATGTAGACTAAATTCGATCAATGATTACGATTTGTTGTAAAATAAATAATAACTATGTATATTCGGTCGCCTATTGATTCCATATTCCACGGCGCTGTAGTAGATTTGTAGTGTATAAATAGTTCAGTTCAATACTTCAACGTTATAAGCCAAGTAGGATCAAGGAATGGATTAAATAAGGATTGCTATTTATAAACAAATATGTATTTGCAAAAGTATCTACGTACGTGCATATAAATGAGTTCATGATTGCACAATTTTAAAACTCTAATTCGTTTTACAATCTTCCTATCTATTTTAATCTCAACATAAATACAGAAAGTGACAAATGAGAAGGTATTTCATTAAATATTGTTAATATTGCAAATATATTATTGTTTCTATGAATTAATGATGGATGGAGGATGTTCTACATTTTGTATATTGATGACATCAATTTCGGTGGAATCCTTTTTAACTGGTATATGAATGAATAATCTTCTCTCTCTCTATCTAGAACGTGAAGCCGTACTGAAAAAAAGAACAGAATTAAATAAACAAAAGCTTATGTGTTGCCATAGGCCGCTTAGTATTAAAGTTTTAACCTACTTTAAAAAGGATGCGTAATTGCATAATATTTGCAAATGATATTTTTTAGGCTCGATATTAAAAGTTATAGAAAACTGTATTGCAACTAAGGAAAAAGCGCAAGTTTCATAAAAATCCATGCAGCTGTTTGGGTCACCCAGTTCTGAAGGTCACCTGCATAATATAAATTTGAATAAATAACATCTTGAACAAGCTTTTTAAAGTTTTTTTTTTGCCCAAATTATTTATGATTACTATCTGTTACTTCAGTAGGGAAACCTATATTTGGCGGCTACAATCAGTACGATGACCTTAGGTTGTAGGAAGCGCTCAACATCCTTCCTGCAGCCTTCATTGGCTGCGAGTTGGCAAAAAAATTCAGACTAGGGTTTTATGTTATTAATTTATATATTCACGAAACACTTACATTTAAGTAAGTACTGTGATAAATATAATTTAGCGTTTATTAGATTCCAATAGGCAACAGACATCGCAAGAGACGATGGCAAGCGGCCGGATGGGATGTCGTTAATCCCTTGGAAGATGGGACGGGCTTTGGTATGGGATGATACTTGTGTCTACACGTTTGCCCCGTCTCACCCCCCCTCGGACACGCAAAAAAGCTGGGGCGGCCGCAGAGCAGACGGAAAATAATAAACGACTCAAATAAAACAGTCTTTCTTCCAACTTCGATTTTGTTCCCTTTGGAGTAGAGACTCTTGGGCCGTGGGGTCAAGTTCACAGGCGCTAATTAAAGATTTAAGTTGGCGCCTGGTAAATAGTACCGGTGACCCCAGAGCTGGTGCTTTCCTCGCTCAACGAATAAGTATCGAGATACAGCGAGGTAATGCTGCCAGCGTTATAGATACACTGCCACAGGGACCAAACTTTTTAAATTTGTTTTAATTTTCTTTTTATTAATTTGTAATATTACAATTATATAATTACCTCTTTAGCTTTGTCATTGCTGCATTTAAAAATCAAAGCAGCTCTCTCGCAACCTTTAGTACCATCGCTAACTTCTTCGTCATTTACTGAAAGTAAAAAAAAATACAATTCTTAAGAATAATTCACGAACATAATCATTTTTGTTTCACCAGGACGCATCGCCGAACTGGGGCTTTTTAGCGACAAAAATTAAAGACATTTATTGGCTATTTAAAGATTATAGTAGTATATGTCAAGTCGTAATATTAACTAGCCATCTATTTATATATATTATTGAGCAGTGTTGGCCTGGTGTCTTCAGAGTGCGATTCTCATCCCTGAGGTCGTAGGTTCGATACCCGGCGTGCACCAATGGATATTCTTTCTATCTGCGCATTTAACATTCTCTCGAATGGTGAAGGAAAACTTCGTGGGGAATCCGGCTTGCTAAAAAGACGACGGCGTGTGCCACAGGAGGCTGATCACCTACTTGCCTATTAGATTGACAAAAGATCATGAAACAGATACAGAAATCTGTAGTTGTAGCGCCACTGATATATTAATTATATTAACTATCATCCATAAGGACAATAAAAAAGGGGCGCTACAACGCTCGGTCTTGATCGTAGATTTCTGTATTCTTTATTTTTTCGCAGTTATTTTTTTTTCTAATGACACATGACACACGCCGTCGACGATTTTGGGTTTAAGGAATGCCGGTTTCCTGACGATTTGTTCTGTGCGTACTTGTATCCCAAAACTGATCTGTATTTTCTTTCTTACCAGATTTGCAAGCGTCTGTAAACGCCTTAGCCCTCTTAAGTTGTTCTTCGTCGTTGGCTAAATAAGTTTCAGCCAGTTTGTTTGTACCCTCCACGGATAGCTTTCCGTCGTCAGTCATCTGAAATTAAGATCAAAATAAAGTACCGCATTTCCCGATTGGGGGTAAACAAAATATAGTCACTAAAGAAAATAAAAAAACGTGTGTGTACTTATGGATACACGCGTTGGAAGTTATACTTCTTTAGCGTAAAAGGATAAAAATCTTTTTAAAACTTTTATCTTTCGCCTTATTCTACGTTTGTTGAAAACACGACACTAACAGTAGAAAATGTATTTAATACATTGAAAGTTCATTTAAATATCACAAGAAAATATTTCTCAATTAAAGAAATGGACATTTTCTATTTTTAAATGTTGACTATGCTAACTTCAGGGTGTCGGTTTTTTGTGACGGTGTGCGCGCTTGGTAAACTTACTTTCATCATTTTTCCCTAACGCGCCAAAAGAAGAACTTCAAAAATTATGCTTGAAACAGAAAAATGTATTACCAGTATGTTTTTTGTTTCTAGTGTAATGTATTTTTGGCATATTTTGAAAACTAATATTGTTTTGATTACACGGATCTCTGATTCACACATCCGGTGTGTTCATAATGGTGGAAATCCTAATTTGTTGTGACATTTAGGCGTGTAATTGTTAATAATAACCTTGCTCTGTATATATACAATACACAAAATAATTGTCACTGGCTGAATAAAAACTTCATAGAAAAAAATCATAGATTGTTTATGATTCTTTACCTAAATTCCTTGTTAATTCTATTAACATTTTGCAAAAATCTTTTATTCCAAAAAAATCGGATTTTACCCCATAAATAAAGACAACCTAAGATTCTACTTGAAATTCTATAAGAAAAAGTCCGACAACGCACTCGCGAATTTTTTGGCATTCTGTCCATTCCATTCCGTGTCCATGGGTGACGGTGCCAATTAACATCAGATGACCATCGTACTTGTTTGACCGTTTCTATAAAAAAACGCAATATTTTCTGTATTACGCTGGGTAATAATGAAAAAAATTTTTTAACTACTAGTACTACACTTTAACAAAAATGTTTGATATTATGAAAACATAGCAATAGTAGGTATATCCTTACCGAATGGTTTAATTTTTCAATAAGACACATTAGTCACATAATAACAAAAGAAGAAGAAGAAAAGAGCGTACCAATTCTTGAAAGGCCGGCAACGCACTTGCGAGCCTTCTGGCATTGTGAGTGTCCATGGGCGGCGTTATCACTTAACATCAGGTGAGCCTCCTGCCCGTTTGCCTCCTATTACATAAAAAAAAACTATGGTTTCAACGTAGTTAAAATTTATTTTCTATTCGTAATGTTATAATGTACTCACCATACCCGCCTTCTTATATGCACAAGCGAACAAGCATTTCACGGACTCCTTGTCAGGCATTTGTAGATTCTTCAGTTGTTCAATGTCACTTTGATCGATAGGATATTCTTCCATACAACTCATTACCAATTCCGCATACTTCTGCTTAAAGGCATCCATAGCGTCGATCTAAAATAAAAAAGGAAATATGAAAAATTGTGTCAGTTTTATACTTGAAGCGTCACATTATCAAATAATTTACAACAAACAATAAGATTACAGCCCTGCGATTCTGTAACTCACTTTTCGAACTCACACAGCGGTTTTCGCATCGGCGGTCGCTCTCAAATCAGTCGTGAAGCAGTCATTTTATGATTTGGCATTCTGATAAACAATAAACTACAAGGTCCCACCTTTTCAGAATGCCAAATCATAAAATGACTGCTTCACGACTGATTTGAGAGCGACCGCCGATGCGAAAACCGCTGTCTGAGTTCGAAAAGTGAGTTACAGAATCGCAGGGCAGTTGAGAAGGTATTGGGAGACTGGTATCCCAAACTAGGTTACAACCTGTGATATGGATAACCAGGCTTCCATTCCACAGCAAAGTCATATCGAGTAGTAACAAAAAGTACATACATATATGGATAGGCAAACAAATTTAACGTTTTAAATAAGGAAAGAAAAACAAAACAGTCAACTAATTAGAAGTTAGTAGAAATAAAGTTAAATGTAACTAGAAACTTTAACTAAAAGGAAAAGGCCTGAAAAACCTTCCACACCACGATCGATTGATATCGTTGACATGCATAATTATTTTACCAACCTTAACAAAAATCATATTTATTATAGTAAAAAATAAAATATAATGTGATTTATACATCGTAAACACTTCTCACTTTCACGATTGCAATGTGAAAATGTGTGAATTATTATAGAAATTATATTTATATAACATTATGCCTATTATTATAATGGAATACAAAAGGAACGTATTTCAAACTGATGCAATACGCATTTATTGAAATATAGGCTGTATGTTATTGGAATAAGATATAATTTAAATAAAATAAAACAATGAGTTCATTGATGGAAATGGCTCATTATCGCCATTAAAAGTCCCTTAACATAACTAATGTCCCTAGAAATCTACAGTTATTGTTAATTTGTTTTATATGGTGTCAATATGAATGTAAGCATTAGGCTGTTTCAAAAAAATAAACGAACTTTGTTAATCCAAGCTTAATCATACCTTCTTGAAGTTGCTTAAACGCCACCAGTGGCGTAACAATAGGGTGGCAGGGCTGGTAAAATACCACGGGCCCCTGACCAAGAGATATTATGTTCTATGGATGAATCTGAAGTGACCAATACGTATTGGGCTAGCGTGGGGATTACAGACCATTCCCTCTCGCCTATGAGAGGAGGCCTATGGCCATTAGTTGGACATATACCACGTGTAATTGAGTACGCTGAAAATCTCGAAGTTTATTAAAATTAAACTGAGTACAACGTGTCAATATTTAGTGATAGGGCCCCATCAAAAGAATTTGCCACGGGCCCCAGATGGTATAGTTACGCCACTGAACGCCACCTAAGTTAAAAACATTGGGATCTCTAATCTCGTAGATAGTTTGGTATACCAGTTGATAGTCCGTTTGAAGTCTACGCCGCGCCGCTGCGACATTTATAAATCCAAACTAATAAATGAAAAAAACCCTCGTGGCCTAAGCCGTCAATGCCCCATGGAAACCGGCGCCTGAACATTGCCATTTGGTGTTGATGGAGTAATGGAATTATTCTTTATAACAGACCGATATTTAAACCGACTTTAATAACACAATGGAGGTAGGTTATAACAAAAAACAAAACGATTACCGAAATCGATATTATAATATATCATTTGGGCGATATAATAAGCTATATTTTTACAACTTACTCTTTTTACCTTGCTATTTACCACTGGTATGAAATATGTATCTGATTTCTCTCGATTTTTCTAATAATCACGTTTCAATTACGTAATCATCAAAAATACAAAACTACAAAGCATAACGTCATTTAAGTTAAAAGCTAGCCTTTTCAGCAAATGATAATTATATACCAATACCAAGGAAACAAAAATTACGCAGTTATTACCAAAGTCATATTCGAAAATTGTCAAATAATGTACGTAATTAATTGACATGATTTTCATTTATCTTCCATAAATAATGGCTGCCCAAATATGAATATACATTGTCTTGTTTGTCGTAAACGAAAACACACAAGTTGTAAAATGTTTTTAAAAGTATTGTTGACTTTGGGTCTAATCAACATAAACTTATATGGAATTTACGTGAGTATTCAGAGACAAGGGAGAGAGGTTTAGGGTGACATTCAGAAACGAGACTTATCACGAATATGACTCTTGTTTGTCAAAATCCATGACTTACCCATTTGTATTCAGAGACGCTAGAAGTCAAACTTAAGTTTTCTTTATGTCAAAAGATACGGCGACTTGAGCAAGCTGGAGCCACCAACAGGACAGTTATGATCTTAACAATACACATATTAATGAATGATGTAATGTTTAACATGATACATAGATAAAAGTTTAAAATTCTTCACTAATCTAAATTTTATAAGAACAATGTTGAATATGATTATGCTGATTGGCCCAAATCGGCTTGGTCTCTGAATATCAGCCTAGTATCGCAGAAATAACTAATAGATAAAATGAAACACTTGTTTTATAGGCAATGACGGCAGACCAGAAGGCGATGATCCATGCGCATTTTGAAAAAATTGGAGCCGAATGTATCAAGGAACATCAAATATCTGTGGACGATATAAAAAACTTGAGGGCTAAGAAGTTGCCAACGGGCGAAAACGCTCCGTGTTTCCTGTCTTGTGTATTGAAGAAAATCGGCGTTGTAAGTTATACACTGTAAAGTAAAATTTACTCTTTACACTGTATAGTAGTAATAAAGTAACAGTATAACGTGTACAACAATTATGTCACAAATTTTTGTTTAATCAACGAATTTGGTGGCTGTTACTATTTTTTTTACATTTGTGCTCATATCAAGTCTTGTTAGAGAGTTAATTTGTCATATTATTATAGAGAAGTATGTCTTTTATCATCTATGCTATCTAAGCAACAGTTCTCACTTTTCAGTCGGTAGCTCATGTCTGAGCGTGGTCAGTAAGGAAACATCTGCAGAGGACAATCTGTCTCCACCGCTTTCTGCTCTTATTAGAGTGTACAGTTTTTGAGGACAATGAGTCTTTCACTTGATCGGTCCATCTGGTTGGTGAACGGCCACGTGACCTTTTGCCTTCTGTGTTACCAATCACGATCAGATTCTCCAAGTTCTCATCGCGCTTTTGCGCTGCGCATTGCCGAAATATGATATATGTATTTCGCTGTTGGTAAATGGTAGAAAGAAGTGTCCGTAAGCGCATTTGGGTGCCCTTCGCAGTCTACCGTATTTTTATTCGACTCCAGCACCAACCAACAACTGTTAGATATGCGATAATCAGTCTCTTTGTATTAAAATGTAATGAATAAACCAGTTGCTTGACCAGTAGCCATGTACCGTTAGGATATGTTTTCAGTTATTTATTAGATTAAATAATTACAGATGGATGACAAAGGAATGCTTCAAAAGGAGTCAGCCTTAGAATTAGCCAAAAAAGTCTTCAATGATGACGAAGAGCTTAAAATGCTTGAAGATTATCTTCATTCCTGTTCCCATAGTGAGTAATGTTCAGAATAATAAATTGGATTTACTACTACAAAATTTTAGGTGCTATGCCTATCGAAAAGACCTTTTAAAAGTACGCCAGCTTCAAATTTTTAACATCCGGCGTAAAGAAGGTAACGCCTTTTTCATCTTTTTAATTTTCTTTTGGGAAATAATTATTGAAGCAATTCCGTTATTTTATTTATTGCACACAATAATACAAAAAACGTAGAATTCGGAAAACAAATCCAAAGACTTAGTGTAATGGGCGCCTTATCGCTTATAACCGTGCAACCTGTGTCTAAAGATAAAGGAGCTCAAAAAAGTGCAAACCTTAATGAAGTTTTTAGTGTGGCGAGTAAAATATTTCATGTTCACAGTAAACGGTGAAAGTGTAAGTGATGGTGAAAAGGGCTGTGAGCGCGCAATTCTTGCTTACAAGTGCATGTCTGACAATGCATCCCAGGTACAACATTTTTAATTTAATATAGACTTCAACTGATTCATATTACCTATGAAAAATATATATGGATAAAAAAGTTCAAATATTTTTATACAATTCACACTATCGCCAATAATGATTAACCCTGAGAGAACATTCTCTTTCATTTTTATCTATTACTAGCTGTCCCGACAAACGTTGTTTTGCCATGTACTTATATTATTTCAAAGAAACATAGTTTTAGTTCAATAAAAATAACTACTAAAAAATAGGGGTTGATCGTAGAGGGGTGAAAATTAAGGTTTGTATGTATTTTTTAATTAAAAAAATTTGATGTGGATGGCACCCCTTATCACTTAGGGGTTTGATAGATAGTAGCCAATTCTCAGACTTACTGAATAAGCAAAAAAAATTTTGTAGGAATCGGTCGAGCCGTTTCGGAGGAGTATGGGAACGAACATTGTGACACGAGAATTTTATATATTAGATTGATAAACAAATTGTCTGCATAAAGAAGTGAAAAAAAATATATTTTATATAGTATACGTATTAATCCTATATATCTTTTTTCAGTTTGGCTTGGAGATGTGAGTTCGTAGCAACATCCAATTCGTTTAATAATAATAGATAAGAAATTTGTTAATAATAAAAATATATACAAATGTTATGTATTGGTTTTATTCACCTATACTCTTGAGAGAGATAACAAAAGACTGTAAATATATAACATGTTTTATTCAGTGTATTGTCTCAAAAAGCAAGTGTTAACATATCATTTCGAGGTGTATCTTCTTAACGAGAGCCTTCAAACTGAAAACAAAATGAGAGTACATTAATACAGGATTATAAATACATACATACACAATTAAGTAAATTCTATTATTTTTATGCTTCTATGGTTAAAAATTACTGATTATTATATGTATAACTATTTTTTGTTAAAAAAAAATTGTTTTTAAGTTAAAATTGTTAGGCAATTTTTAAGGTATAAACTATTGGCACAATAACAGTAATTTGATATTTTTTCAACAAAAGGTGCAAAAATTTATGAAAAGGTTAGTAATATCTACTATATTAATACTACCTCCTTTTTGAATGGCAGGAAGCACTCCATTAAAAGCTTGGACCTTTGGCAGCCCTCATTGTCGCCAACAGGTTGGTCGTTTACTGTAAAACAGGTAAATCATACTTTTTCATTTCATTTGGACCTTAGACCATACAAGTGTACAGGGAGTAACATTTAGAGGCGTAGTCGATAGCACCTGAGTTCCGTGTACCCTTAGCACGCAGAATCGAATAGGTAATGTTACAGAAAGTAACGATGTATCTAAAGAAGTAGTAGGGATTATTTGGATCTAAAGGGACTATTTGGATACAAAGAACGAACATACATACGTTAGCATAGAATATGTGTAGATATTTCCTTTGAAGAACATGATATCATTGATTTTGCTACAAAATCTTAATCTGGTTCGAGATTCGTCAATAAACTTAATAATAATCATGACTAAATTGTGTACCTGGGGTCACCTTTTTGAGTGTACCATACACGTTAATAGGTAGAGAACTTACTCAACAAATTTACATTACAAACATCAATTATTGCTGGAGGGTTGGAGGGCTGGAGGGATTATCTTACCAGAGACACATCTTCCAATTATTTCCTGTGCTTTAGCCTGGTCACCAGAATCAGAGAGGTACTTCGAAATTAATTCCTTCGACTTTTCAACATCAAACTGCCCACCATCGTTAATCTGATAATAAAAATAAAAAAGCTACAATTAAATTTCAGTAACAAAAAATTGTGCGTGTACTAGGTGTACACACGTAAGAAGTGAAACTTCTTTATGATCTTATTTTTCGAAAAATGATCTACAATATGCAACTTTACAGAAATTCGTTAAAATAGATAAAATTTAACAAAAGGCTTTTATTATCATAGACATGAATACAAATATTTCATTTTACTTTATTACTACGAAGATTATTATAGAATTTCATTAATTGTAATAGAATTATTACTATCATTGAAAAACGTGACGATTTGCTACAAAATTTCTCCCATACGTCGATAAAGAAGTTTCATTCCAACGCCGATAAAGAAGTTTGACTTCAAAAAGCAACATGGCGCGTAACCGAAAAATGTGACGCGTAACGAAAAAATTTTACACTAAATTTTTTTCCAACCTCGATAAAAAAACATACTTTTCATATAATCTATTCACTACTTTTTTATATCGTGGCATCAAACATATACGTACATTAAAAACCCATTTAAAGCTTTTTTTTTAATTGTTGCAGTTTTACAACCCCTGTCTGGATTTTCGCTTATTACCTGCATTTACACATTTCTTTATTAAATATCTGCAACACTGATATCTCAAACTAGAAATAACTTGGGACGACAACTTAATATTGGGAAGTTACAGTGTAAGGATACTGTTCTTTCCTAGAGTATTTTTATACGTACCACTCCAGCCTTCTTGAATACGCAAGCGATGAAGCAATCGTCTAAATTGTCTATATTTTTCGACTCCTTGGACTTCTTGATGTCCTCCTCGGAAACTCCATACTTGCTGCTACACTCTTGAACGGTGGGCAGTATAATCGCGTAGAGCTTCATTTTGTCCACTTGGTTCAAGGCCTTAAAAATCATAAGTGTTAGCTGTAATAGCTTCTACGGGACGAACTTACTTCCAATTTCTTATCTTATGAACAGATTAAATAGAAAAGGATGGAAGTATTTGTGGTGGGTATTACTTCACCAAATTGATCCTTAAAATCCCATTTATTCCGTAATATTATCTAGCGCATCGTTTCTTAACCATTTTCGGTACCCATGAGAAATCCAAAAAGTTAAGTAAAACAGTCTTGCAACCCCGTCACTGTAAAATTATAATAATACTAGCTGACCTGGCAAACATCATTTTGCCATGTATATTATTTCTAGGAAACATTTTTTTAATTCAATAAAATATCTATCTACAATAATAAAAAATAAGGCTCGATCGTAGAGGGGTGAAAATAAGGGTTGTATGCTGTCTCATAAAACAGTTAAAAAAAAAATTAGGGGTGGAACACCCTTCTCACTTAGGGGTTTGAAAGATAGATAGTAGCCGATTCTCAGAATTACTGAATACGCATAAAAAATTTCATAAGAATCGGTAGATTCGTTTCGGAGGAGTATGGGAACGAACATTGTGACACGAGAATTTTATATATTAGATGTACATAGCGCGCTATTGTACCTATATGAAGATTGTTTTTATTATTTTCAACAGACTGCGACCCCCTTATAAAACAAACTCGACCCCCCGCTTTTTATTTTATTTTAAAGGATGATCTAGCGATTCAGCGATTACACTTTCCTTAGGTGCATTCGAATCTAGGATATACACCAATATACTTTTTAACAATCGCGCTTTAACGTCCTTATAAAGTAAAGGTAAATGAATGACATATAAGTAATACCTAAATGATGAAGTATCGAGAAATGTCAGGTCTCGTCCAAGAGTTCTGCTATTTGTTTTATTTCACTACATCTATAAATCGCTCGAAATACAAATGTTCAATAATGAAATAATATATATATAAAATACTAGCTGACCCACCGTTGTTTTGCCATGTATATTATTTATAGGAAACATTTTTTTAAGTTCAATAAACATAACTATCAACTATAATAAAAATACGGGTTGATTGTAGAGGGGTGAAACTTAAGGGTTGTATGTATTTTTATATGGCAAATTAAAATTAAAATTTTATGTAAAAACTAGAAATAAAATTTTAGGGGTGGACAACCCTAATCACTCAGGGGTATGAAAAATAGATAGTAGCCGATTCAGACCTACGTAATATGCATATAAAATTTGATAAAAATCGGTCAAGCCGTTTCGGAGGAGTATGGTAACTAACATTGTGACACGAGAATTTTATATATAAGATTAAAAACAAATAAACAAAACTTACTTCAACATCATTAAAAGCCACCGCCAAAAATCCAAGACACAGCAAAGCGAAACGCAACATTTTTTTACTATTATATTTTTATTTAAATACGCGGGCGTCTTATACTCATCCAAATTCGTATCTACCTCTGTGTGAAGAATAACAAGTATTTATACTAACGTCGAGTAATTTTTTTCACATAATTATCTTAAAGCGCATGTATGCAAGTTATTCCCATTGTTTCAATGTGATGCAACAAATTGTGATCGGAACTGCACATTACCTTAAACAATTGCCAAATCTTAATCGGCGGATACGATATCGAACCCGGTAGTAATGGGCAATTCGCAAAAACCAAGTTCATTAACAAACAAATTAACAGTCGTTTTATTAGAAAAAGGTTTTAAAAATATCAACGGTGATGTCATAATACCCAATGTCACTACAACCTTCTAAGGCTTGGGCTTCTGATTTCTGTATGGTGCTTGATTGACTTGACTGTATTTTTTTCTAATGCGCAATTATATTTCTAATGCGCACTTATAAAGTCCATTCGTCCAAAGTAACCTACGACCTCAGGGAAGAAAATCGTATGCTGATGCCACTAGGCCAACACTGTACCACCTCATCCTCGTTCCCATGCCGATGTCATAATACCGTTTCATTATATTTATATTTGGCTTAAATCATTAATCGCGCAGTTGATATGGTACCAGTTTTACTAAAAGATAATGTAGTAACGTAAAACATGGGCAAACTGGAGGCTCGTGTAATGTTTAGTGATGCCACCCATGGCCACTCACATTGCCAAATAGCTCGCAAGTGCATTGCCGGCCTTTAAATTTTGCCGTTATAATGAAAAACAATAATTAAATAAAAATATTTAACTGTCACGTAATATTTATATACATTAATCGATCGATAATGAGTTATTACAGCGCGTTCGCTATTTCCATAATTATATTTTACAAATAGGATAGAAAAACATCAAATATTTTATTCATACATTTAATAGCAAAAGTATTTTCACACTGAAAGGATTCTGAGAAAACATCTATTATGATCTAATTGTTACATTGCATCTATCTAACATTAAATCTCGGACCTTGATACATAACAACTGGCCATCAAAGTCGGTGTAATTATCCAGTGTGTTATTAGCGCGAAAACACGATGCATATTATCAGACTGAGTATCATTTTTATGTATGGTTTAATTATGTAACCTGAATTTTGCAGTCACAATTAGGATCAACACATGAAATTATTTCCTATTTTAATATAGACTATTAACAACGAAATATTATTTTCTATATCAACGCTTTATAAAGTAGGTATTGCGAAATAAATATCGTAATTAGCTTAAGCTATACGCTTTTTTATATTTATTAAAGCTCATCACATCATATATAATTCACATTCTACAGTATAAGTTACAATCTATATATTCTAAAATACCTGACAATTACGGTGATAAAAATAATACGTCCAACTACACATTTTTTTTTACTAGTACCTATTTTAAAATACTTATAGGCTTAACAATACGGATTAGGTATTCGATAGGTAAATAACAACTCTTTTTTTAATATTACAATCGATGCAATAGTTTTTATTTTTTTATATTTTTATAGACTGGCCATAAACATACAGAGGGTGGGATGTAGGTTGTGTAATTTTTTCTATAAAGCATTTTTAGCCAGCATAACCGGGGCAAAAGTTGCTTTATGAAATAAACGGAATTATTCATACAATTTAACAGTGTTTTTTTCAAAATTGTTAATCAAATCAAAATCAAAATACATTTATTAAGTTTAGATGCGTCTTAAGGTATTCTTATGAATGTCAAAATCGTTTACAAAATTCACGAAAGAGCAAGACTACGCCATCCGTTCGCAAAACTACCAGGAGGCCTTGTTCTGAGAAGAACGGGCAAGAAACTCAGCAAGTTTGCCCTCCCTCTCTACATTACAATTATCTAAAGGAAAATGTCATAAACCACAACGTCATTAAAGTTACATAAGTAAAAAAAAATAAAAATCTGTTTTGTGATTTACCACATTCACCATTACAGACATATTCACAACACTTCAAAGATGACAAAACAAATTATAACAATAAAATTAGATCATCTGTTATTAAAGAATATTAACAAAACAAATTAAAACTATCTATTTATTATGGAAACAAGAAATTCTTGGGATTATCTTCATAAATACATTTCGCTGTCCAATAAGCTGACTCGCACAGGTCCTTGTATTTTTTAACTGTGAAGGAAAAATAACGTTGTTAAATCCGACATGCTACTACGACTTGACACTGTTAATTTAGTGAATTCGATAATTGAAATATACAATGAACAAAGGCGAAACTAAAATGCATAATTTTTTTTGACTCGGGTGAAAGAATTTTCCTTCTACACTTTTTTTCAACAAATACAGTGAAGTGAAGTGGGGTCTTAGAATTTCAGATCTGAGTGTCTGTTTGTTTGATTTTTAGAACCGTTATCTGGATGGTACATGGCTGAGCACAGAGCACAGAGGGCTGGGCTGAGTTGTTCTGGTTCTGATTGATATCTGATCTGCTAGCTCGAAGGTTGACGGGGCTTAATTATAAATTTTTTGCAAGATTTTTCAAGTAGGCGCGCTATGAAAATTTGATGAGAGTGAAATTTTACGATGCGCGCGCACCGTGACACAAAATTAACAGAATGAAATTGCCCACGAAAGATGCTACGGCATTGAATAATTTAAAAACAACATTCGAATAATAATAGAATTTATGTTATACTTAATGTAAGAGAATAATAATAAATATTTATTTATTTAATTTTTCAAATGTAAACTGAACTTTATTGACTATAATGACTCCTTTTCCAGTCTTTGATTATTTAATTGTAATTAGTTATTTGCATGCAATCAAAAACTATTTTTAATAATGGCAAAGAAGTATAACTTCTTACGCGCATACATAAGTACACGCACCCTTTTTTATAATTTGGCTGCCTACGAAGTCATGATTAACGTTGACTAGATGAGAAAAAAGCTCTATAGTTAAATGACTTATCTACTTTTCAGCCTGCCGTTCGAGGTATTCCCAAACGACTCTAATAAAATGCGAATCGAAAAAAGGACAACTCATTTGCATGTCTGATTGTCTGATTAATGCTCTTGACATTTAGTGGCGGTTAGTAGTTTTTTATATATTAGCATACAAGATAGCACTTTGTTCTTTGATTAGGTTTGATAAATATCAGATCAATATGAATTATATTTCCTGCAATTAAGTCAATTTTCAGTACAAATAGATACTCACGCAGTCCTTTACAATTCTCTATGGAAATCAGCATACCTTGCTTCATATCATCAGGATAATTAATTTGTACTTGTTTCAAGGATGCCTCGTAATTTATTTTATTGTTTTTGACCTGTATTTACATAAGTGATTATTTTACATAAATGATTTTAATTTCAAAGTTACGTAATACAAGCAATTGACGTGCAAATTGCACACATTTTTGAAATGTATATATGTGGTATTTAAAGCTTGTGTTTTTGACTTACAATCGATGTGTTAAAATATTAATTCATTTTCATACATTAGTAGTCTGTGATGATGTGAGTGTTGAATAAACTGATAAGACCAGTGCAGTTAACTACGAATTACGAGCGAATACTAGGAGCATTTATGGATTTAGCCCGAAGATTTCGATTTAGAATGCCCAAAGGACTGGTTATAATTAATAGTTGTAATTAATCTTTGATAACGATGCAATCATATGGTAACACATAGCCCAATGAATAGAATTTGATTAATACAGAAAAAAACATCTCACGATTTGTGTTGTCTTATAAACGCAGGCGATGTAGCACATGACAGGTCTCTCTTCAATAAACTTGCCTTTTTCTATGTCACCAATCAAATCTATAAATAGTTACTTAGTAAGGTACCATTTTCTATAAATGGTTAGGTAGTATTCAGACCACTTTTTTAAATTAATTTAAATTCAAATTGATAGGCGTTATTTTACGGAAAGTATATGTAACTAATATAAAGAAGTCAGTGTACACCATAAATTAAATATCATTTGAAATACATTAGAATCTTCAATAACCTAAACAATACATCCCTTTAACGACTCAAATTTCCTAACTAATCACTGTGCACTGTCGTTTTTCCAATTTCCAAATGATTTTTCTCATCCAGAAATCAATTAGAGGTTAGAATAGACCTTCATTTATAAACATAATAAACATCAATTATGTGTTGTTAAAAGTAAAAATATGGAAGTCAGTAAACAACGCCTGAGAATCGCGATTACTCTAGTCGCAATGAAATTTGATAATTTACCAATGTAACAATGTATCATAACATTATTCTTCTTACCTTCCGTAACATTATTCTTGTTCATACAGTTCCTTTTCACGATTTTAGCAGCATTTTTGATTTGCTGCCTTGTCATCTGTCATTAATGAATTCAAAGTAAATATCATCTATAATATTGATGCATTGGATGTGTGGTTAATATGTTTTGTTGTGATCGTTATCGTGAAATAATTATGGATTATTCCGTTATTATATAAACAATAATGCACAGGCACAGAATAATTTGTAATTCATATGAATGATATTATAATTAGACGTGTATTTAATATTAAGCTTCTATTCGGTACTTAACTTCACTTACTTATTTTATCCTAATATATTTTAAAGCATACAAATACTAGGCTCCGAATATGATGTTTTCCCATTCGGTGTCGAGACTCTTGGTCCTAGCGCTATAAGGTTTTTTAAGGAAATAGCAAAAAGAGGCAATGGCAGCTCTGACAAAGAATTAGTCTAGCTATTCAAAGAGGGAACGCTGCCAGTATCTTCAGAATCTTGCCTAAAGGAACTCCTTTTAATAATATATTTTAGTTATTATATTTTAAGATTAGTTATTGTTTTTTGTTATATTAATTTATATTAGCTGTAGGATTATGGAACATGATGTTTTAAAACACTATATCTAAACTAACGAATATAAGATTAATATATACTATACATATACTATATTCGAGTAGCGTTACAACCCTTCACCCTTAGGGTGAGGTTCAGAAACGAGAATTATGATTCCCGTTTGTCAAAATGTAATATATTTTTGACGTTCTGGGGTCAGATTTAGCGTTAAATCTTCTTTCTAAATCTAACCCTAAGATATCCGTACCCGTGCTTTTGTTGTCTGACATGACCCTCGATTTGTGATTTCTGTATGATGTTTCCCTGTGTGAGCAGGAGTAAACTGTGCCATAAGACAGAAAATCCATGCCCATACGGAATTTGAATCCATGTCTTGAGGATAGCACCCACTAGGCGAACACTATTCTTATCTCCCTCTAAATTTCATTGCCTTACAATTTACAATACTTACGGAATCAATTTCACCTATCAACAGAGCAATCATTATAAAATAACAAAATTCTTTTCCTTCCATTACAGCGAAAACAAACAAATGAATGTCGATTTCTTGTTCCCTTAATATAACGTCAGATTAATTGTAGAGTGCTAGTAATAATCAGTCTTTTACTAGATATGTCAACAATTAACAAACATAATAATTAATAGGGTATTGGACAGCAAGGCTACTCCGAAAAATGTGTCTTATTATAATTATTGATGTATAAACGGCTGAAATTGGGTTCTAACAAAGCTCCCACTTGCTTCAGTTTTCGTACCCCCCCTTCATAGTCTTGGAAACTTTTAATTATGTGGCACAAGAGCTAAAATATATTGAATTTGTAACAGTGTAAGCCTGCAGAGTACGTCATTCTCAGTGGGTATCGTCTGATTCAAGAACTGGTATGTTTTAATAATAATAAATAACAAAAACTTTATTCATGACAGAGATAGGTTGTGACAAAATTAATCTATCGCTTAGTTCCCACACTAGGTGTCCCTGTGTTTTTGGTAACTAGATATTATTCGTGCTAAAAGGGTGCGTGTATGTACGCGCGTAAGAAGTTATACTTCTTTGGCATTATTAAAAATAGTTTTTGATTGCATGCAAATAATTAATTACAATTAAATAATCAAAGACTGGAAAAGGAGTCATTATAGTCAATAAAGTTCAGTTTACAATTGAAAAATTAAATAAATAAATATTTATTATTATTCTTTTACATTAAGTGTAACATAAATTCTATTATTATTCGAATGTTCTTTTTAAATGATGTCCAATGCCGTAGCATCTTCCGTGGGCAACTTCATTCTGTTAATTTTGTGTCACGGTACGCGCACATCGTAAAATTTAACTCTCATCAATTTTTCATAACGCGCCTAAAGAAGTATAACTTCAAAAGTAGTAACTTTTTCTTAAAAATAACTGTTTTAGTGTTACAAATAATCAAACACAAGTCGTATAAGACATTAAGAATGGGTGAATGTGTAAGTATATGAATGCGCCTGTGCGTGTATGTATTTGAGAGTGTGTTGTTATAAGCGTTCCCTGGGTCTTTGTTAGTTTTTGGAAGTCTTGCCAAGATTCCTAGTAAGGCATCCGTAGATTCGATCTCCAATTCGACTGGCATTTTTATTTGATTTGTGAGTTTGTATCTGGATAGTTGGACTATCTCGGAATCGATAGATTGAGAGATTTTATTATATCCCTTCCTTCCCCTAGATCAGAGTTCCCCAAACTTTTTTGTGTCGTAGACCCCTTGCCATGTTTTTCCGTGTTGGGTAGACCCCCTACTTACCTGATATTGATTTCCTGAAAATTTCTAACTGTAGTGAAGTTTAGTGTTAAAAACTTAAAGTAAAACACATGTTAATTTATACATTTATTAATTGAATTTAAATTAAAACTACTCAAAATAAAATTTTGTATCTTTATGTAAAATATACGTAGCGCATAAAATAAACTATAAATAAAATAACATAAGCAATAAGTCAATATAATGTATATGTTTTGATTATAAGATAGTATGATGTAAGTAAATAGGTACTATCAGTGTATGTGTTGAGATCCACTATCGTGGACCCCCATTTTCATTTCATGGACCCCCAAACATTTTTGTCGCTGACGTAGACCCCTTGCAGGTTGTCATAGACCCCTAGGGGTCGATATAGACCACTTTGGGAATCACTGCCCTAGATGCATATACATGAAGTTTTATTTTATGTATGATCAAGCTGTTATGTATTGAATTACGTCTTAAAAATATGTACTAAATTTCAGATAAACATTTTATAGTGCAAAGTCATCTTCATAAATGTTTGTTCACTGTTCAATGTTCACATTGAGATCACTATCTCGCATTAAATCTGAACTCCGCGGAGCGTGCAGTTGTAATGCACTTGTATTAATTTTAAAATAAGTCGTTTTCGACGCAAATGCAAATAGGATATAAGTTTCATTTTTAAAATTGTAATAAAACATGATTGAAAAAAAATTAAAAAATATGATTCCAATATGACTATTATTTTTTCAATATAGAACTCAGATTATGCGTATATATCTAAATTAAATCAATTTATCAGTACATACTAATAAAACGATAGATACATGACAAATCCTTAAATATCCGCCTGGTGTAATTTTAGAAGATTGCGTCTTTGACTTATTGTTAGAGATCTTTAATACAATATTTTGAATGTTACCAATGCTTATTTAATTATTTCGGCTTAATAAAAGAGACTGATAAAAAACAGACACAGAAACATACGCCAAGTCATTTTATTTACAGGCGTAGATAAAATTAACAAAATGTATTTCAAATTCATTTAAATATACTATAATAAATTTCGTTAAGGAAATACAAAACTGGCCGGATCACTTTCATACAAGCATTTTGTTGAGTAGAAAATTCCTTCGCACACATCGTCGTATTTGTACTCTGAAACATGTAAAAATTCGTAAACACTAGTGCATAAAATACACAATATAAACAGTTAATTAGGGATTGTGTTATTATATCATAATAATGTTATTATTTAGCTACTAAAATCCAGTAATGTGGCTCTCCCCCATACAATCACCCACGTAGTCTATCACAGCATTATATTGATGCGAAAAGTTGGCTAAAACCTGCACAGCCTACAGCCGCTAGTACCCTGTCTTGAAAAAAGGCACCGAGTAAAGAAAAATAATATATAATATTATTTCTTTTTTCTTATATGTTAATTTTTTTTCTATTTTTATAATTGTGTCTACGTATTAGTCGCGTCATGTGGTGTTGTGGTTCGATGTAGGAATACCGTATCTCCAAAATATATTAATGTAGTTATACAATAAATATAAAAATATACCTTTCTTACTTATTACTGAACTCTTAATTTATACTACTACATATTTCACTTCGTTATACCCTAATACTATCACCGTTTTGTTAATAACTCAGCGCAGATATCTTTTCGTATGTTATGTTGTTCTGTTGTAGTGTTTTTATGTAATAATAAATGTGTTTTTTTCTTCAATTTTCATCGACTTTAAAGAACTTTGGAGGTTCGCTTTTTCAAGTCAACATGTAAATTTTGTTTCTGTTCACGGACATCCTATCTTGATGATTGAGCTGCCAAATAACTGATATTAAGTGAAATGTTTTTATTTTATATTTATTCATAGTTTTAATCTAAGATTTTTATCCTTTTAATCCTATGAATAAAAATGTCGATCAATAAAACATTATTGATTTTGTATAACTTAATTATGTTTTTTATTACTTAGTGTTTTTTGAGTCTTCACTAAGGCATCATGGAACATTACGATCTAGCCTAACTTAAGACTAATAAGTAATTTAAGTTCAACCTAATTTACTAAAAAGGATTTTTATCATAAAGAGGTGTCCAATAACTCTACAAGTACAGTCCCTATTAACAGTCTCTGTTCTTGTGTTCTATTTTTTCAATCACTGTTTAGCACTTAATACTAACGTGCACTTACACTAATTCACTAGTTCAAATGGTGATGTAAAAATAATTAAGGTTCATAATTCCGAATGATGGCCCTATAAGCTGAATCTCGGCCAGAAGTTGTCACATTCTCTAACGCTGGCATTTTGTACTATACTTACGAATATCAAAACACTTGTCGACTCCTTTCTTCGCGGCTCCACGTAGGTCTTGTGGATACAAGGCATCTATTTGTTTGACCACTAGATCCCTATCAAGCCTATTGTTTTTCACCTAGAATTTCACAAAGATTATATGAACCAAAAAATAATTTAAAAAATGTAAGGAAATGACACTCCATATATACGAATATTACTTCGTTACTATATTTCAGTAATTTTTAAATTAATTCATTGATTACGATAATCGTTTGCATATACATAAAATGATTGATTTTCATTTCTTTAAGACTATGTCATCGCACGGATTTTATAGGAACTCACCACTAGTGCAGCTTTGTAGACACAAGCAATATAGCACATGACGTTGTGGTCTTCGATGAATACACCTTGCTCAATTTGACCTACTTTATCTGCAATATTTAGTTTGTAATTGGTTTTCTTACAAGATTTTAGGTATAAAAAAATAACGTAATCTTTGTTCTACTACTATGGAGTATGCACAATATCGAATCTGATCTGATCTGTTTCATTCATTATTTGATTTATGGCATTAACGCCTTTAGTACACCTACGCAATCGCATGCGGCAGCAAAACGACGAAAAAACTGTAAGTTGTATGGCAACGTTTCGCATGTGTTTTGTCTCGCTCTAATATATAGCTAGATGAAATAGTTGCGTCCTTGTCGGAATTGTTTCGCAAGTAACTGCGAAATGGCTGTTACACAGACGCAGCCGTTTCGCTACTGGAGTTTCGCATCGCAAGGCGTCACCACGCGTTCTGTCAGTGAGGACAGAATTTCGCATAATGGAAGCCGAAAATATTGAATTATTATTGAATTTGATTCGAAATTATCCCGAATTATATTTAGTTGGGCTTGTTGATTACAAAATCCTCTTCAGAATCTGAAAGTGACGACTGGGACGACTCAGATGACATTCTGAAACGACGTCTGCACCTACAGCCCACCAAAGCTACAATGACATATTCTTGCGAAAAACCTGCAGTGTACTAACGTTCCGCATCCGATATTTCGCTACCGCAATTATTTCGCAAAGATTCGCAGCCGCATACGAACGCGTAGGTGTACTAAAGGCGTAATAACGGCCTGTGTACGAACACAGGACGAGAATGCCGGCCTTCTGACAGGCCGGGGACATCTTGACAGTATTGAATTGAATTACAAAGCAAGTCAAAATATTATATACCATTATTAACACCATGTTTCGGCATACACTGGTTCTTCATTATAGTAAACGTTTTCTTTAGTTGAACTCGTGACATCTAAAAGGATACTCATTATTTAATCAGTTGTGTTTTACAATAAAATATGCACTGGGCAAATATGTATTGGGCTTTGACATACGGGACACGGTTCCAACTAAGTCTTATTTCTTAAAGTCACCTGAAATGCCCATTGAAAATAACCATAAACAAATATAGTTATACTTATATCATTCTTGCAGTTTTTTACCGATATGCCCAAAAAAATATTTACAACTTACCGCGAATGTCACAGGTAATATAACTAAAAAGGTTACTAAAAAAGCAAACCTTCGTGATTTACACATTTTGTAGTTTTGCTGCCTCAAAAACCTTTTGGACTAAAACTGTTTTTGATAAATAATGACTTTAAATAGCTGATTTAACAAATACTTGCTCACAAATTAATGGTTGGCCAGGACTGCAATTTACCTAAACCGTTTAAGAAAATTATAGCTGAAAATTTAAGGTTTAGTCTCTGAACAATACTTGATGATAATGCAAATTATTCTCGTGAGCAAACATTTTTATGGTCAAATCATTCCATATTTGCAAGTTTATTGAATTGAATTTTTATGATGACCAATGCAGTATCACAGACTAGCAAGTGCACGTGTCTTTTAAGAAGACGGGCAAGTTTGCAGTCTGTGGCTGCTGACAGTGGAAATGTTGAATTTGCCTCGTGAAGAAACTCTACTTTTCCAGCATTTCCAATCTCTCTCTGGTAAATACGATGTAAAAAATCAATGATAAAGGAAAGTCCCTTGCAAATTTACCCAATATTAAGTTATACTAATAAAGTAAAAAAAATATAAAATTTACAAATCTCGACTGTTTTGCACTTAAGTTTTTTGAATGATTCTTTACAACAAACGAGATACTGATACATAATAATTCACATGATACTGAACATGTTACATGTTAATTCAAAGGAAAGTTGTTTCAGCCATGTTAAAAAGCATTAAAACCCATAAATAATGTTGAAAGTAAATATTTTATTAAAGAATCAAATAAGGCTCATGGAAAAATGAAGTTCTTTGGATCGTAATCGTACATACATTTAGCCGTCCAATAGGCAATTTCGCATATATCCTTATACTTTTTACCTGAAATATAAAACAGTAATAAGATTATTAAGATTTTCTAACATGTTGCGACGGCTGCCATTTACCAATGCGGTTTTTGAACCACTGCGTCACCCGCCCTAAAACTCAGTCCATTTTGGGATAGTCGCTAGGATGGCTCCTAGCGACTATTATTTGTGCCAAAAATGAAGAATGCGTGGAATAAAGTTTTGCGACGATGAAGTGAAGTCGGAAATTTCGGCCTATTTTGATGACTAAGACAAATCTTTTTTTTCGACGTTATTAATAAGTTATTTGACACATCTGATAAATGTATTAAGGTAAAGGTAGAATACATTGGAAAGGAAAAATAGTTTAATGTTTCATTTCATTACCCTTCTTAACTTTTACTTTTTTTTAATATATGTAAATTAATGTTACAATTATTTTGTGAATTAATGACTTTTTTTTAATAACAAAACTCACGATATTTAGCCTAATCATCAAATACTTGGCTCTGTCAAGTATATATACGATAGCAAAAAATGTACATCATTTAGTTCTAAATACGCTCACGGAGGTGGCTCAAATTTTTTAAAACAAAAAAATGTTTAACAGATATTTATTGTTACTATTTGACTATCTTTACTATACGTTATTTATATTTTTACGAAATTTATTTAAATAAAGTACATATTTGGTCTACAGTATGTCCTGGGACACTTAGGCCTGTTCGAGACTTCTCCAACCTGATTAACCATATGCCACACATAATTAGGAGTTCCTGATCATCCCTCCATCGCCTGACCTGTCTACCTGTTTTTCTTTTCCCATCTAAATAGATTACCAGTTGTAATTGATAGGAATGGTGTAATTTGCTATAGAAAACGCATTTAGTACCTACATAGTAATTCCTGCATTAGCCCTGCTTACTATTAAACTGTAATTTATTAGAGTGTAATTTGATCTAAAATACACCAACTCTTATACCATACTAACTCTAACAGTATCTTATTAATTAGAAAAAGAACTTACTAATGTCTTTACAATGAGCAGCGGAAGCTTTTACGGCATCTCTCATTTCCACCGGAAACATAGTATCGATTTGTTTGATCACAGCGTCATATGAAAGCTTATTGTTTTTAATCTGAAAATATATAGACAAGTTTTATTTTGGTATAAATATTTCATAAAAAAACTATAGAAAATTGCGTATATAGGTATTTTATTGACATGGAGTATATCCCCATGGCATATATATGCTAACTTTACAATCCGACCGTCATATGTTTTCTACTAATCACGGGAAAAAACAAGTTTCGTTCCCTCATATCTTGTATGTATTTATATATCAATGTTGCGCACATAAATTAGTACTAATTTCATTAGATTCTTTCTTAAAGCAACGATGATAAAAACACAATGATGTTCAAAGATTATAATCAACCAGAAAGAATAAGAAGATAAATTGTATAAACCCGCTAAGCCATGAAGACGGTTACTGTTGTATTTTACTTACCACCTGAGTCATAGTGTAGATGCAAGCCACGTAACACATCACATTTCGTTCTTCAATAAATTTCCCTTGCTCTATTTGACCGACTTGATCTGAAACAGTAACCTATTACAAAGAATTCAAACCTTAAAATTTAATTATTGCTTAATTAAAAATAGTCTTAAGGTTCGGCTAGGTATTTTCGTAGGTGTTTTGTAAGAGCAAAATACGTAATTTTTTGTAACTACGTGCTAAAAATTAACAGTGAAACTCGGTAAGCAATTATCACTGTGTAAAAGTTGATAACATTCAACAGCAGTTTAAAAGTTGATAGCAATTGACAGCCTCATCTATCACATAGTAGATAAAAAAGGATATTTAGGGATAACTTTTTTTTAAACGTTGCCTTGTTATTTAAATACAGATCCATTAATTTATCAATCAAAAGTATCTCAATGGTATTGAGTAGTGGGGAAATTTCGCTATCTGCGCCTCTTATGATTCTGACCAACTTATTTGCACTATAACGAGAAAAAAGTAAATACAATACCAACCTTCTGTCACATCATTTTTGGGCATACAACTTTTTTTCATCAATTTCCCGGAGTTTTTCAATTGTTGTCGGGACATCTATTAAATAAAAAATTATTGATTAAATAAATTCGTTTTGAAAATATTCTCTAATCTCACTACTCACCGCAAAGATCAAGGGCACAGAAACTAAAACTATAAAAAACAATATTTTTTGTACACACATTTTTTCTAAAACATAAAAACTACAACACACATCGTGTCTCAGTCATTATATACTTAAAGTTCTAGACTACTTGATGGTTTTATTGATTGTAAGTGATACATTGCATAGAAAAAGTGAGGTATTACCGCCTAATAACTTAATATTATGACGTTTAATTTTACGTCCATACTATATTTAACTACTAAGTAGCTGTATTAATTATGGGCATTCTATTCAAGTTAGTTCAGTGTTTAGGTTCGAATAGTATCTTGCCAAGATTTTGGTGTAATGGCAAAATGTTCATATTAAGTTCGTGGACATACGCGTCGCAACACAGCATAGCAAATTACTTTTGCGCATCTAAAATAGGGTAGTTTGGATGCGCAAAGTAATTTACTTGACGTCACTAATAATGTGATATATATGAATGTATTAAAAATATTATTTATATTTGACTATTTATAAATTTGTCACAAGCTAAATATTTCGGTAACAAGTCCTCCACCCTCCTTGGGTTTCTTTTATGTCGGATAATTATACGACTTTATCCATTAACAGGACACTAGCCACCTCCGCCAATTTCCTAATCAATCAATTTGCATAAGGTCAGTCCTGACTACCTCACAATATGGTCAAGTATTAATTGCGCACATACAATTATATTTCCAGTGGGGCATAAGCGAAATACGACCTTTGGATTGAGAATCATGCTTATTCACAAGGGTTACAGTACTCTTAAAGGGTAAGAATCAGAATCGAAACTTAGCGCTAAGTATGGCACCCATATGTCATATCCGATACGTCTCACATACGTAAGGTCATACTTACCACTAAGTCTGAGTTTCACAAAGTTATTATAAGACGATTGATCTCAGTGCTATGCCGTGTTGCGGCCAAGCCAAGATTAGATAATTATATTAAGAAACATAGTTCTTGGCAAACTTCGCTAAACGGGCTTCTATTGTTTATGAATAAAAAAACACCAATTTGAGAGATTAGAACTGTAAGGAGAAAATCTCTCAAGTTCAAAAGCAGTTAAAAGTAGTTTAGACTTATAAACATATAAATTTATGTAGCGTAGTAAGATCCTTGGGATTGATTTGCTCCAGTTCAAACAATTTGTATTACAAAACTTGGCGATTAAAAAGAGTGGCGGAAAGTTTCTTGCCAGTTCTTGACTTGCGAACTGGTAGTAATACTCCAGTCAAATTACGAAATAAATAGACATGAGCGAACACAGTTTTGGGATTTTGAGGATCGATAGGGGGTGTATTCTGAGCATAAATTCCAATTTGAGGGGTTGTACTGAGGTCAGCTCAAGGTCATTTCGATGGAAACGCGTTTAATTCGATATCTCGAGAATGGTTAGTGTAAGGCGAAAAATTGTAGAGACCTTTTCTTTTCCTAACTAAATTTACTAACTTTTTTATCTGAAACTTTTTTTATAACATTAATATTTTTCAAGTTATTACTCCCGCAAGGCAAAAATTTTACTTTTTTTCCATTTTTCGTCGTTTTCTCCCCAACCATTCAATTTTATTAAATTTTACCGATCAAAGTAGTGTAGATCTTTTAATTATGAACAATTTTGTTCCTGAGCTTTTTTCCGTAATGCCAATACCTTCGGAGTTATAGATTACTTTACCGAGCGAAATCCGCGCCACTGTCGCAATATAAAAAGGTCAATCGATTAAACTGTGTTCGCTCATGTTTATTTAACCCGTTTTTAGCCATAATTTGACTGGTAGTAAATGTAAATTTACAATGATTTTAAACTTCTTTCTGATAATTCATAAGTGTACTTGTTTACCTACATGAATAAAGATATTTTGAGTTTGAGTTTGAAGATATTTTTAGATTTTTTGGTTGTACTGTTTAAAACATTACATCATTCATGATTAGTTTGTCACTTGACATAATCATGGCGAAGATTAAGCCCAAATAAAAGTCTGAGCGTCTCTGAATACAAATATTAACTACTAATAATGAATTATCAATGCCTAACAACTTATGCAACCTGTTTTGTATATGTATATAAGGTAAGTAAGCAAGGTACAAAGGAAGTGTAAATAAATAAATGAACGTAAGTGATCGATTTTGACATACAAAATACATAGTTCGCGCTACGTTTTGGTTCTGAATCTTACCCTTAGTCTTGATTATTAAACTGAGGGAAAGTGCTTATTTAATATTATATTTTAACGACTATTTTCGAACTAATAATGTTTCTTACGGTCTTTTCGTAGCCATTCACAAATCGGTGGTTAGCGATTCCTATTTAATTATCTCAGTTATAATCAACGTTGTTAATTAATGCAAGTATCAGGTCTGTTATTAATCAATTATCACCTGTTCATATAAGTTCACACCAATCTAGAACTATTCTAGTTTATGCCATGTCAGTTTCATTTGTTGTCCTCATAGTCGTTATAGTTCTTGCTTTGTGTGATGCAGTAAGTTTGGTCATAGATGCGATTTATTGGAATCATTTAAAACTTGAATCGGTTACTAGTGTTTCTTAATATGTTTTAACGATATTCAGATGACGATGAAACAACTGAAATCGACGGGGAAAATGATGAGAAAAACCTGTCAGCCGAAAAATAATGCTGAGGATGGTACGTTGTTCATAAAAATATTTTATCATCTTATGTTCTAAAATACTCGTTAGCTTTTGGTCACAAACAACAATATTTATAGGCAACAATATTCAAGATTTAGCGTTACCACCCACTCATATCACACCAATTACACCACAAACTCTGTGATCAGATAATTTAAGATTTATATTGAAGACGTTGTATGGCTAAAATTAATTGAAAACAGTAATTTAAACTTCGATGTTTCAGAACAAATAGAGGCAATATCAAGAGGTGAATTCAGGGAAGAAAAGGAAGTGATGTGCTATATTGCGTGTATTATGAAAATGGCTAATGCGGTATGTCACTGACAAATGTTACAAACACCGTATACATTTTTATAAGCATTTAATAAAAATTCTAATATATTATTGATTTATTATCAATTTTATTATCGTAATGAAATCATGCGAATATAAGAAGAAAAAAAATACTATAGTAGGTACTAGCTCTTCATTTTATAAGGGATATCAAGGCTGGCTATATATTTCTAGCGACGTCCCAGATACATATTAATTATATTTCAATCTAAAGAGTTTAAATTTTATCGAATTTGAATTTTTAAATAACATTCTTAACCTACATAGTGATAATAATAACAACTAAAAATTAACAAATAGAAAATTTAAACAAAATTTAAAGTTTGGTCTCTGTGGCAGTGTACCTTTAATGCTGGCAGCATTTCCTCGCCGTTTTGCGATACTTATCCGTTGAGCGAGAAAAGCAGCAGTACTGTCTACCAGATGCCAACTCAATTCTTTAATTAGCGCCTGTGCACTTGAACCACACCAAGAGTCTCTACTTCAAAGGGAACAAAATCAAAGTTGGAAGTCTGTTATATACTCTCTCTTTAAAAATTCTGTATTTGTGTGTTTGAAACACAGTGGTTCCATTTTTAATTGATATAAGAAATCATTTCAGTACATAATTAAGCATTATTTTCCCAGATTAAGAATGGCAAATTAAACTATGAATCAGCTATGAAACAAGCAGATTTACTACTTCCAGAAGAAATAAAAGAACCTGCAAAAGCAGCCATCACTGCATGTAGGAAAGTAGGCGAGTATATTTTTCAAGTCACTTATTAATAATATTTAGCAAAGCGTAAATACAAATAAATTTATATATCCATAGAAAATAAATATAGTCTTAATTAGTAAAGGAAAATATGATTCCCAGGAATCCATATAATTTTGATCAAACAGCTAAACCACCGTAGTGGTAGCATAAACTATACCATGAGGGGTTTGCATTTACTTATTTCATACAATTCCGGTATAATGCATAAATAATTGTTGTATTTTTTTAGATGCATTTATAAGGAAAATCCGGATGTATTCTTCTTCCCTTAATAAAGGAAATGTTGATTATGTTATTTATTTATTTACAACGTTACGGGTGGAAAATCAAGTGCTGGCTGAATAGTTACAATTAAATGAAATATCGCTATTCCGTGAGTTTTAAGTTACGTATCCCTATAGAAGGATTTCCAGAAATTCAAAATATAAAATGTGCATTAAGGTATGAATTATCGTAAAGAAACTCGTAATTACTCGATCCCCATAAGTTAAAAACATAACTGCAAAAACACGTGCGAAAGAACTTATAAAAATTAATCTGATCCATTTAAAAACATAGACAACATAGTTAATTAATATCTGTGGATAAATTCCACAGTTTCGTGTACTAACTATTAAAATATCAGCACCCCAACATATTTAGCAAAACCCTATCTAGCTAGGTTTTTATTATCAAAATAATCAAAAGGTAATTGCAATGTATTGAATTAATACGTAATTCCTACAAGTAGATACAATACTACGGGAAATAACAATCATTTCCGCTTCGAACAAAAGGTATATTTTCATACGTCAGGCTAATATTTTTCCGCAACCATTATGCTGGCTCATATCAAGACAATTATATGCAATTTTTCTAATAAGACGTCTGATATGCTATTAAAATGGCACTACAGATGGCTGGTACTTAAAAACTGCTGTGTGAGTTAAATATGAGTTTCATGCTGCATTATTATTCTCTAAGGTTGTTTTTTGTAGCAATGATGTAACAATAGCAAGGCGCAAAATATTTTATATATATTTGAATATAATTTCTGACAAATTTTATGTATTTTTTGTGTTACGTAAAGTTGGTTTCAATACGCAAATATTGACTAACTAATTGATAAAAAATCACAAATATTAGCTAAACGATTCTTGTGTCTAAATGAGGATAATTTCATATATCAATTTTTATCAGTATTTGATTAAAAATTAAGCACACAGGTGTCTAAGTTCCTTCAGTTCTTTATCGATTTATAAGTGTATTTCATTTATAATTTGAAATCATAAGAGTAATTTTTTGAAGTTGATTGCACAATTAAATACTAAACTTGTTAATTTTTCAGGGATTCCATAAGAATTCTTATAAAAATTAATAAAATTCGCTACGAAATTTTTAACAAAATTCCAATAACGCTGTATAAATATGACTGGCATATTTTCTGTCTAATTTCTCTTTAAATGAAATGTACCCTAATTTAAAACAAATCGTTACAAACAGACAAACAACCACTGATCCTCAACTCCTGTGGATTCAACTGATTTTGTAACAAACAACCAACAAAAAATCTTAGTACTTTCAGGGTCGAAATTATTATCATCCATCCGACTAATCTAAAAAACATTAGCCAAAACATAATGATGTTATAATAAAACATCATATATATATATAGATTATTCGGATAAGTATCATCAGTGTTGAAACTGAAGATGAATAGGATTTATGTATTGTTGTGCGTGTGTTTTGTGGGGGCTGCATTTGTAAGTATCTGTTTAACTATGATGTTTAATTTTTCAATTGTTGATAATTTTTATTTTATAAACCAATGACTCATATCGTCGACTTCTGGGTCTAAGGAATGACAGTTTTTTCAAGATAATTTACCCTCCCCATACGAACAAGAGATAATTCACACAACAAAATTAACACACAGAGAAACGCACTTCCATATCAAACTTGATAAGTCCTGGAAAATTACTCTCTCAAGTGATTCTTTTTCTGTAGGTACTTTAAATTTATAGTTATTTGAACTAATTATTTATCTATTCTTACTATTCAGGATGTCGAGAAACCGACAAACTCGACTGAATTATAATCTCTTTAAATATTTTAAAATTATGGTATAAAGGTCATTTATATTATTGAAATTATTAGCCTAAAAATGATCGTAGGGAGCCGAAGCAGATGTAAAAGCATGGTTCTTGGAAAAAGCGATTGAGTGCAGTCAGAAACATGCGGTCAACAGTGAAGAGATGAAAATGCTCAGCGACCATAAATTCCCAGAGAGCAACACCTCTAAGTGTCTTTTGGCGTGTGTCTTCAAAAAAGCGGAATGGGTGAGCTACAATAGCATTCCATAAATCGTTAAATAAGTTTTACTGTCGGTCACATATTTTTACTGATTCATCCTTAAAGGGACCTACTTCCGAAAATTTATTCGAAACGTATAAAAACACATTTAATATATAGACAAAAGGTCTTATACACAACCAATCGAAACCAAAACGATATGTCAGGCTTCTAAACTATAGAAGTCTGAAATATCGTCTAGGTATGACGAATGATGAACGACGAATTCAAAGCTATTGCTTTGAATGTTTAATCTATTCTGACTGATTATATTTTGTTGTTGTGTAAAAATAAATATTAGACAATACAATTAAAGTTACTACTTTAATCTAATCTCAAAGGAGCGTCGGAAGTAAATTTTATTCTATAATGAAATTACTTTTTAAATATTGATGTTTGCAGATTGATGAAAATGGCATGTTCAGCGAAGACAATGCTTACAAACTATCACTAAAAGAGTTTCCAGATGATAAAGAAAAACTAGCAAATGCTAAGAAACTATTTGGATTGTGCAAGACAGGTAGGAATCTAATATATAAAATTCTCATGTCGCGGTGTTTGTAGTTAAATTCCTCCTATACCGATTCTCATGAAATTTTGTGTGCATATTGGGTATGTTTGAAAATCGGACAACATCTATTTTTCATCTCCCTAAATGTTAAGAGTAGTCCACCCCTAAATTTTTAGATTTTTTTTTTATGATACAGCATTAAAAATACATACAATACCTAATTTTCACCCTTCTACGATCAACCCATATTTTTTATTATAAATGATATACTTGGCAAAACGACGTTTGCCGGATCAGCTAGTTAATCTATAATATAATAAATCATAGAATAAAGAACTCTGAATTTAAACCAGGAGAAGTCAAGAAAAACCTAAAATTTTATCCACGAAAAATAAAGTTTTTATAAGATTTCTCATTTCACGTAAATAACACAAATTTTAGTTTTATGAAAAAATTTACTAATATTATAGGTACTTCCTCGTGTTGCTGTTTTCAGATCTGAAGATCGGATTGTTTGTATCAGGTTTAATTTTTGAGAAATAATTAAAACGCGTATTTTACGAAAAATCTATTGTTTATTAGGAAAACCGTTAGAAAAACAACCAATACTTCTTAAAGAAAATCTAACATAAGATTTTCTTTGTTAGCTTAGTCTGTCGAGGTCTGTTTCTTATGCTCCAACAGTACTAATATATTATATACTGCCTTCACGTGAGCATTCCAGTAGCAGCAGGGTGCTAACGTTCCTTCATATTGAAGTCTCATATCGATATTCATATGAATGTCTTGATGGAACCGATCCCCTTTTTCGTCACTCAGATCACCAAGATTTTCAGGGAAACTGTCTAAATGCATGTGGAGGTATTGAACCCTGATGCTCGTGCCGGTGCACCAAGCTGCTGGAAGTGTGACATCAGTTCAATATGCTCCGCAGCTTTCATCTTTTTTGTTTCCCAGGAAAGTTGTGGAGTTCAAACGAATTCATTCCAGGCATTTTTTCAATATCAGTCATGCAATTATTAAAGTTCATCCTTATTAAATTAGTAAACAACATGCAACAGAAAAATAGTTTATTGTGTGTACCTAATAGTTAGAATATTTGACATGTTGCGTGACTTATGGCGGTTTCAACACATACAAAATAAACAAAAATATCTCAATATGAGTAACTGGAACGACAATTGAAGTAAATGAATTGTGTTTGGTAACATTAAGTTCATACTAGCTTTACTGTAATACGAGTGACACTTTACCTACGACATCACCGACACGACTAAGTTCTTTCAAACCAGAATATCGTATCTTTTCAGTCAACGATGCAAATGTCGGAGACGGTGCCAAAGGGTGTGAACGAGCTTCACTACTTGCTTCATGTTTAGTCAAAAACGCCGGACAGGTTAATATTTTGGTTTAGTGTACGTGTTATTGCACTACGTGAATTAATTTTAATCTATTTTCCTTTCAGAGCGGATTTCTTCTTCAGTAACAAGATATAAAACTCTTTAAATAAAATAATCATTGTAATATCTCGTTTTTCTTTTTCTTAATTAACATCCAGAATGAAATGCCCCTATAATCATTATCAAAAGAAGGTTATATACGTATTTTGGGGGGGGGTCCTTTTGTAAAACGTTACGATGCGGAGCGGGGATTGAATTAAGCGTTAATGTTAATATTATTTTCGACTTTCCAGTACTTTAAACCACATAATGGTAAGTTTTAGGTATAAAGAGTGACTAGGTGGTCACGAAACGTTTACTATACTTGGGTACAGAAAAACGTTACGGCGCGTTACATGGGGGGGGTCAATAACCTCCAAAAATTGAGTGACGTAATACTTGAACGCTCCCTTAACAGTAGAAAGTTGCATCATTAGTTATTAGTTAGTTGTTAGCCCATACTATTACTACGCGCTGGACTCTTGCTGCGCGCTATCCTACTTCCACCCGACCTCTCGCTCTCCCCGCGGAAGCAAGACGACAAGCCGCAAAACAGTGCGAATGAGATATATACAAAAATTGCTAGGAATTTCCAAGTCCATTGGATATTCGTCAATTCGTATCTGCGACATTGAGCGATATGAAATATCTGGAGCAATTAGAAGCAATATCGCCGAAATAATTTATTGAAATTTATTGAAATTGCTCCATTAATTGCTCCAGATCGGTCCATTCGTGTCGCCGAGCAATTATTGCCCTCATGTAAGCGCACCTTAAGGACTATTCTTTTGAAGCATATAGAAGTTTTCGAACTAATGTGAATAACTTTTAGTTCAAAACTTAGTTTTAGGGAATTTTATAGTGAAACAAAAGTTATGCTCAACAAATTTATTAAAAGACTTGATACACACAGAGAGTTTGTGCAAATTATAAAATGCATCTTATTGCACATTCATGGATTACATACACACTAGTATAAATTGGAAAATATCTTTAAAACAAATTGTATACAAAAATTCTAACACCTAGGTATACAAATTGGATACAAAAATACTTCATACACATTAAGTGATAATACAAAACTAGATATTTAATTCAAACAAAATTTAAAACCAAAAAGCGGCAATACCGCAAAAATATTTCTAAACCTATCGATATTCAAATTCCAATTGTATTTTCTTGGCACAAATAAATAATCATATCCAATTATTATATGGCAAGACTTATTTATATGAAAGAAATACCAGCCTTATATGTATTTCCTTTAGTATAGTACAAAATATTACTGGCCTTGGCATAAGCAAAAATTTCGACAATTTCGTACTTCAGCAACATCATATATTTGTAAATTTGATGTATAAATTTTTCTTTTTTTTCAAATTTATCTTTATTAGGTTTTGAGCAAAAATAAGCCGAGGACGGTAAATGATTAAACAGACACAGATTCTGTTTAAATGATGTTTAAACATAACAACAAACAACTTAAATATCGCACAACGGGTTTGTTTCATTTACGAACATATTTAATGTCGAATAAAGAAACTTATAAACCCGCCATCATATAATTCATACTAAACCATGAGATTAAAACAATTGAGAAAAAATAATGCTACAAAAGGATATTCTTTTAACAAGTTACCTACCTCAATTATGACGTCGAATTGCAATTTTTTACCATTATTTTTTTACATTTTTTAGCCAACAGGTCTATAATCATTTCGAATAAAGGTCTAACCTTTTATGCCGGATGGTTACGAGCGTTGCTGGTATAGTACGTTATTTTACGCGCGTCGTAACAAAGTAGTTTCAGACTGATTCTTAATTTTTTAGTTTAAGATTAAATCTTCGTTATCAGTATTTAACTGAAAGATGTACCTAAGAAGGTGTACGTATTGGTAAACATAATGCAGTGTAAACTCTATAAAACGACACTCAAGGGATTGTGCATTTATTGGCGTTGTAAAGAGTTGTCGTTAAATAGAAAGAAGAAAAAGTTTTTTTTCAGACTAGTGTTAGTAATTATATAAAAATGTATGTATATCGTATGATGCCGATAGTTGAGTAAGTTGAATTTATTACGGGATAGGACAATAGAGCGACAAAAGAACGTACAGAGTTCTGCAATTTTAACTAATTTTGGCAACTTAAAAAGTACTTTTTATTATTTAATTGTCGTTATTGAGGGTAGGGGTTATGCTATTTAAAGTTTGTCATTGTATGGAAATAAGCTAAACCAACCATAGCCGAGTGATTTCGACGCTTTAGGGAATTTGTTAAATCGAGGGACGTTACATGGGAGTTTACACTGTATATTAATTAGGCCCAAAAAAGAATTCGTAGTCCTTCCATCGCAACTCTTTTTTTCCACTCCTTCCTTGAAGGGTTTTACTACCGTGACGCGTACAGTACTGTCTTTGCGAACCTATGTATCAACCACGAAATGATTATTATTTGCTCGTAAAGGGACATATCAATATTGATGGAAAGTGCTTACGTAGGAACTCGATAAATTTATTGATTAAAATTAAAATATTTTAACCAAATAATAAAAAAAATATTTTTCCGTTAAAATATTTTAACCAAGACCTTTATAAAATCTCTATTGTTTTATCTATTTATAGTATTATGCAAACTAGACTAGTGAGGGAAAACCAAAGAGATTTAATTATATAGAGCGGGCTGCATTTAGCATACAACTGAATAAACAAACTATTTCACTAGAGCCCGAAATATTTTAATTTCTCTTTGGCGTAAAAAAATACCACGTAAAAATATTTTTTCGATATTTTATAACAGTAAAGTAACATTTCAGTAAGTATATCATTTCAAATATGGAGATGCTGATTTATTTATACGATATGTTATTTAGGGCCCATTATTTAAATTTAACAATTCATAAAAAATACTCTTATAAATATAAATATTTTAATTATTTTGACCAAAACACAAAAACAAAAATTCACAAATTATTCAGTTTTCGTCGTTATTTTTCGCGATTCGTATTTTATCTTTACACACAGGTGCATAAGTAGACAAAATAACACTTTTGCTTTTAATAAACATATTGGACTAAATTTAAAAAAAAAACTCAATTGATCCCTAATCTGGAACGTCTTAATTAAATGAAGTTAAATTCGCTCATAAACCAGATATGTATTTGACGAATCATGACCAAACTCATTTCAATTAAAACTGAATAAATGCGAATTGTGTGAACGGGAATTTTCTGTCAAATAAAAAAATAGTTAATTTCAAAATATCTTATAGAATCGTATTCTTATATTAAATCGCCTTTTAAACTCCCAAGTATATATAGAAGTGTGTAGACTTGTCTTTAGAAAACTCTAGTGCTATCTACGAAGACCCAATATTTACAAACAAAATAATATCTGTCCCTCTAATTGGGGACTTTAAAAAAATGATCACAAACCCAAGTTGAATCAAACCTTTAGTCTAGAACAAAGCTACAAAAGTGGTCCAAAATAAATGAATGTTCATAGATAGCACAATTCTGAGAAGTTCTTTACTGTATGAGGAGCTGAAGTCCTTGTAGATCCTGCTGTTATATGCTGTCATAGCTGTTAGGGTCCGGTGACGTCACAGGACCAGAACGGGTCGGCAGCTTGAATCCATTGATAGCAAATGCCCAACCATCCTGAAAAAAAATGTTTTCTTTCTATGTTTTTCCTACCGCTAGGTTTAATATGTTAGTTACTAGTATATGTAAGTTAATAAGGGAATTTCCGGCTAAGAAGACCTTTCTTTGTTGAAAGCAAGTTAATATAATACTTTTTAGTTGCGTTTATTGAACGTAAAATTTTAGTTTTATGTAAGAATATTAGAAAATTATGTTTTGTAGAAAATGATTCATTTTGTTTTTCTCCGATATGAAGCCGATATGACTTAGACCCGAAATGCCGTATATCAGTAAAACACCTAATTCGTTTCTTGAAAAAAAAATGTAATTATATCTGAATTAAAATTCACACGCGGTAAAATTGCGTGTGTCTGATCAGATCGTTGATTATGAGTTTAATATTAATGATAATGATGAAATAACCTATATTATTATATAATTTGTCGACTGATTCGGTTCTGTTTTTTTAATTACCAAAAATGCTCAGCTTTGCTCACGCCTAACCTTTTAAGCAATTGTCATAAAATTTGGTCTGTACTAGATAATCTGTGCTACCATGATATATCAACAAACCGCAGAAAAGTGCTACATAAAGAGAGTTTAACTTACTCTGACAAGATTAGGTAGATCACTCCAAAAAGCTAGATTTGGTATGACTTCTAATCCAGTCGCTCCCATCAGGAATTTCTTAGTACAAATTCCTAGGACCAGATAGAAAATCACACAAGAGAAGAAGACAATTAGAAGTGTAGAACCGAGAGACCTTCCAGATTCTTCAATCACTTTCAGACACGCGTGTCTTGAATAGAATGCTAGTGCCTGAAACAGTATAGAAATTGTCACCTTAGTACACAATTTATTAACATTTTCTAATATTGTGTAACTTTTTCTAGATATATATATATATATGAAGTCAATAAACAGGTCCTAACAATTGACACATATCAGCTATAACTGATTTATATAAAAACTATAAAAGAGCTCAAAATAAATTAAAAAGTTAAATTGTGAATAAAACTATGTTATAGTATCACTACATAGTATAAAACAAAGTCGCTTTCTCTGTCCCTATGTCCCTTTGTATGCCTAAATCTTTGAAACTACACCATGGATTTTGATGCGGTTTTTTTTAATAGATAGAGTGATTAAAGAGGAATGTTTATATGTATAATAACATCCATTAAATAGTGGAGAAGTACTGTTATTTTTGAGGTTTCTAATGTGATGTCGTAAATAATTACATTTTTTCCGCTTACATTGCAAACGCAGGCTGAACCCTACAAGTTTTATCAAAATAATGTACTAAGTATTGTACACATTGAAAAGGTCTACAGAAAAGTCCGTGATGGTATATGTCTATCTCTTATGGATAACCCACAATAACTTTTTTTTGTCATTTACTTTTTACGACAAATAATGGCTAATTTTCGAAGCGATTTTAACCAATACAGCATTAATCCTTAACCAATTAAATACCTTGAATACATTGTTCATTTAATATAGATCTGTATGGCCCTTTACAGCATATGATTTAAATGAATATTTCGAAGATATTACAAATTTAAAAATTGCGGGACGCAGCGCGTCGGAGGCCGCGGTTCTCCCTATACTTTATAGCACTTTGAATTTAGTATCAGCATTGCATCCGTGCGAAGCCGGGGCGGGTCGCTAGTATACATATAAGTTCATATATTCTGAATTACTAGTAATGCTGTTCAAGGTTTGGTTAAATTTGAAAAAAAATGTAAATATAAAAAAATTCATTATATTTAACCATTTAAAAATTAACTACTTAAGAGGAACATAACATATATATCAATGTAATAAAATCTTGCTTGTTTAAATTTATACTACAATTTAAAAATTCAAGGTGGTGACACTATTAATAGTTTAGTTTTCCCCATTGAAATTTGAATTTGAAATTTACTTTTTATCAAAACCAGATGTTCTATTTATATTGATCATTCCACATGTGGATGATTCTAAAATGAAAATACTCACAATTTTTTTAGGATCCATAAGAGAAAACACATTAAGTTCACCTTCTGATTGAGCACACACCAACATTACTATAGTAGATCTGTAAAATATAACATATGTAATGAGTTGACATACTTTAAATAGTTTGTGATTATTATTGCTATAATTGTATTAATTAATTGTGTTTTATTTAAGTGTGTCTATCTTAATATTACTATAGCCTAAATGGTTCATTGTTAATAAACGCATATAATCTGAGGCTTTCGGTTAAATTGTCAACAATACTATAATAAGGAAGAAAATAATGTAGATCACAATTAAGTAGCAGAATATATCTGCTCAAAATAATTTTTACTAGTAAAATAATAGGCCAGCAAAATATACAGATGTGCATGTAAAGTATTTTATAATTTTCTTTATTTTTCTGTAAATTTTGAAATCAATAACAAAATTTAATTAAATAATGTATGAATAACTGTTCTTATATTATGTTTATTTTAAACAGTAACACTTTAATATCAAGGTCACAAAATAAAATGTGGTTAAACCAGTTCCATTAGTCTCAGCTTTATCAACAAAACATCTTTAATATATGCAAGTAATAGAGTAAGATAGATAATAAAGTAAGAAATATATTCTTTCAATCACTGATATCACTCTAATTTATAATAACTTACCAATAGATAATACATAAATACTGTTTTAACTTTTTAAATTATCATTGGTTTAAGTATATAAATTTGTTCTAAATTTGTTTGATGTCATGCTGGACAGAATAACATATAGTTTATATTTCTATCACACTATTTATTTAAAAAAAAACAAAATAACATATTTTTAGACAAAACTGTTACTAAGCTACCCATTCCAACTATCCTTTAAAATAATGTTAATTAAATTACCTAAGCACTTCTATATTATTATATTGGTGTGGAATAAGTTATTAAAAACTGGAGTATAAAATGACAGTTTTTTATTACAAGGTAGTACTATATTTCAAATATCATTAACCAAATTTGACTGTTTTGTTATACAGGTTGTAAATTGTAAATATGAATTTGGTTTGATTGTTAGCGAAACACGTCTTAGTTCAAGTAAAAGTGTTTTATAAATTTTAGACAAACTTTATAGAGACTACTTATAGATAAATAATTGAAAATATTCATATGAATATTTATGTTATATTATATGGTATGTAAACTATGTACCATCCATGTAATGAATGTCTCTAAACAACACAAGCCTAATAAGTTTAATGAAAATTTGCCACGAGACAAAGTTTCTTACATGTTATATTATAATGTATTATTTGAAATAATAGTGTAATCATTGGATTACACCATTATCAGTAGGATTGAATGAACACAATTGTAATTATTTATTTAGCTGCTTGGATAAGTAAAGTGTGTGCCATATGGCTATGTATCTACAGTAATGTATCTACAGTAATATAAACTGAAAAAAATATTTTTTGTATTACCATAAAACCACTGGACTGATATTAATCTTTTTAAGAACTTATCATGTTACAAAATATCAGTCATATTTAATTTAAATTAACTAGAACAGAATTTCTTAATAACTAATATAATTGACCAACAGAATCACCCATTTGTTTTTTTTTATCATTATATCATACAGATACATATTTTTTTTGTAGACATACATTTTTTTTATCATATATGTTTAAAGATGAGTTTTAAAAGTTGATTTGTTTTGATAAAAAATTATAGTAAACTACAAAGAGTTAACTTACGATGGAATATTTGAGTAAATAATAGATTTTCCATCAGCACTAAAGGTTGATCCATTTGTATCTCCCATTTTTTCATAGAGGCCACCATCAGATAAAAAACCTTGTATTGTTGCGTTATAGTTGAAGTGAGTTGTTTGCCTACATAACTGAAATTTTACATAAACCTGATTCAAGACATACAGACAGAGGGACTAAACTTAAAAAATCAAATACTCTATATATTTGAAAAAAAATCTTAAAATATCAAAATAGAATTTATAAACTAGCACAGTATTGGCATATAGACTTAAACATGTAACTCTGAACCCTGAGGTTGTGCACAAATAAATCTTTCTTAGTACATGCTCATAGTGTGAAGGTTAACATCGTTAGGCAACTGGTATAACATTAGTCAGACAGGGAAAGCTGATCACTTTTCTACCAAATGAAATGATCCAAAAATGAGATCTGATTAGATGCTATTTGTCATGGCCAAGACCCTATATAGGGTTAGACAGCCAATGGATTATTATTATATTTACTTAATGCTTTACGGAGCCATGCTTGTGAATTATTTCTAGTTTAACAAGTTAAGTAGGTAGGTACATAACAAAATAATATTACATATGGATATTACGAAATGCTTACCGATAATGGGCTGTTGCAACCACCGGGGTTTGTGCTGTTTACACTTGGCGTAACATCGAAGCAAGGATGGAAGAAATATGTAGTAAGATCGTACTCAGCACCAGCCATCCTTAACTCATATGTTTGAGTGGTGTAAAATGTGGCCTTAACCGCAGGCGACAAATCTACGCCGGTCCCATTGGAATACTCGCAAGTGCAAGGCCCCTTTTTGACGCAGACATCTTGAGCACCCATAATAGTCGAAATAATCGAGAAACATATTAATACAATTCTAAACATTGAATTTAGCGTTGTCATTGCGTTGTAATTTATATTAATAAACTAAACTGCGCAAAAGTTTCGTTAATAGTTGCTTATTGAACAATGACTAACATTATTAACTTATACTCGTTAATTAATAAACCGATTACTAACAGCTTTCCAGAATTAAGAACTCTTTGCTTAATTATATTATATGTGTAATATACTTGACTTAATACTTTAATAGTTTATTATTAAAATAGGGAAATCAAAAACTTCGCGTTAATCATTAATGTAACTGTGACTTAATACCATAGAGTACCACAATTTTGTAAGGAACCATAGAATAATATGAATGACAAGAAGTGTTTGATTTTTTTTATGGTTCTTATTTTATTATTATATAATTTTATAGTTTGGCGGAGGGTTACTATAGGGTTTATACAGAGTGTCCCAAAAGTCGACGTCAAGTCGAAATTTTCTCATAGGTAATGCCACACCAGTTATCAGAAAAATTAAAAAAAAAATTAAGTCATGTATTTTTGAAGTTATGGAAATTTTCCTTTCATTCCAGAAAATATACACAATGTGACAGTTTTTTCATTCCTGTTGTTACAAATATTTACTTTTTGCCAATTTTTTTACGGCCGATCTAAGAAATAATGGACTCAGTGTTATACCACTGTAGAATCCTTATTAAATGCGCTAACTTTTAAAGCTACTTGCCAAACTGGAGTAATACATTTTTTTTTTCAGGACGATCAGTTGTAGTAGTGCGAAAATTAATTTTGAAAACTTGGTACGGTATAAAATTACATTTTCCTAAAAGTTGGAGTGATCAGCACAGAGTTTAGGTTCATAGGTTACATAAAACACTATTCGGGATGACGTAAGAGAAAAAAAATTGGCAAAAAGGAAATATTTGTAACAACAGGAATGAAAAAACTGTCACATGGTGTGCATTTTCTGGAATAAGCAAAAAATATCCATAACTTCAAAAATACACGACTTATTTTTTTTTTTTTCTCATAACTGGAGTGGCATTACCTATGAGAAAATTTCGACTTAACGTCGACTTTTGGGACACCTGTATACCTACTATAATGGTAACATATTATGTAACTTAAATTGAACTATGATCAACAGCTATAAAAAATTGCTCTCAGTATGTGTCGCGTCAGAAATATTTTCTATTTACTACTATACTACGACAGGGCATTTATAGTAAAAATAAATTTTTACTTTAAAGTATTAAGCATACTAAAGCCTCGATAACACGGGGCTAGTCACAGACCTGCTAGTCCTAGTCGGCGAGTTTACAAGCTAGCGAGTGAGTATAAAATATAAAATACATAGATTATTCTAACATAAAAGAAAAGGATGACATTTCTAAAAGTCTCATAGTTAACAACTTACTATGGATATGAGTGCCAAGCAATGGAAGGCAAAATAAATCATTGGCAAGATGTACAGTCAAATCTGGGTAAGTGAGAACTGGATAAGTGAGAAAACTCTATAAGTGAGAGTAATAGCCGGGACCCGTGATTTTTCCCAAAACCTCTATTAGCGAGAAACAGAAACCTCTGTAACCTCGTTTTTCTCTCATGGGCCTCCGTAAGTGAGACTACTACTTATCTATACTTCTATAACCGAAAGTCGAGCTTTATTTATTTATATTATTTAGGAGGAACTATAGCTACATGAAATAAGACAAAACCTTTTAAGAATATAAGGTTATAATAAGCTAAATTAACAGTAAAATATTTTGGTTACATTTTGATACATTGACAAAAGTTAGTGTCTAAACAGATTGACAATGTCATCAGTTTATAATATGTAGTATCATGTAAGAAGTTTACATCCAAGAAGTTTACATCATTTTCCCGCACTATTTTAAAATATAATCTTTTAATAATTCTGGTATTTTACGGACGCGGCCAGATCGACGAAGTGTTGGCTCCGGCGGTGATGATAATGGTAACTCGGTGCCAGATCTATGAAGTGTTGGCTCCGGCGTTGGTGATGATGGTAGATCAGTCTCTAGCTCTCTGCTATTATCAAGTACCACAGGTCCGGTCTCATTAGATGAAGGAATTTCCAAGTTTTGTTCTTCTGTTTCCGTATGTGGTTCTGTGACGTTATGATAGTCATTATTTATTCGCAGATCTACCCCTTCTGAACCCAATGGTGCTAAATGACGATTTGACACCGTTGTTTCTCGGCCATCTGGGAACCGAATGTATGAATAATCAGGATTGCTGTGTATCAATTCAACCTCTTCTACTATTATTATTATTATTAAAGCTTTATTTAATCCATACATACAACAATAATTGTTAGTTTATATTCCTTAATATTTTATTAGTATTAGTTAAGTTAGTAAGTTTTAACAAAATTTAAGTTAGATTTTATTTATTATTTTTTTATATCTGGTTTTTGTATGGCCCCTTTTAGGGTAAAAGCCTCCTCCATAATTTTCCATTTTTCTTTGTTTTGCGCAACATCCATCCAGTTTTCCCCCGCTAGTTCTACAATGTCATCTGTCCATCTTTCCCTTGGTCGTCCTATACGTCTCTTTCCAGTAGGTCCAGTCCATTTTGTTATTTCTAGTGTCCATCTTTTATCCCGCGCTCTAGCAATATGACCTGCCCATTTCCATTTTAGCCTTAGAGCTTGTTCAAGTGCATCTGTAAGTTTGGTTTTTTTACGGATTTCAACATTTTTTATTTTGTTTATTCTCCTTAACTTTAGGATGCTTCTTTCCATTGCATGCTGGCAAGACAGGATTTTTCTAGTTGTTTTCTTGCTGAAAACCCACGTTTGACTTGCGTATGTAAGACAAGGTAAAATATTTGAATCCATCATTATCTTCTTGTGTTGTAGACTGTAGTTTCCTTTCAGAATTTCCTTCTGGGTCCAGTATTTCTTCCAAGTCACGTTTATTCTTCTATCTACTTCGTTTTCACTGCTGTTCTTATCGAAAGATACTTGTTTTCCTAAATATACATAGTTGTTAACATATTCTATAGGTTTACTGTCGACTCTGATTGGCTGGCACACACTGTTGGATAAGATTCTTGTTTTTGTGGTATTCATGTAAAGCCCGACTTTTTGACTTTCCCTGTCTAATGTTTGGAGCATTTTTTCTAATTTTATAGCGGTGTCACTGAAGACGGCTATGTCGTCTGCGAATCTAAGGTGAGTAAGATGTTTGTTTCGTATCCAGAGGCCGTTATTATTCCATTCTATACCTTTGAATACATCTTCGAGGACTGCTATAAATAATTTTGGGGAAAGTGGGTCACCCTGTCTTACACCTCTTTCAATTCGAATTTCTCGGCCTTTGTTTTCTAGCTTTATTCTACCAACACTATTGCTGTATAATATGTTCTGTAATATATTTATATATTTTTCATTTACTTTATTATTTTCAAGCGCTTTCCATATGGATGTATGCGTTATACTGTCGAACGCTTTCGAATAGTCTACAAATGCTATGTAGAGTGGTTTGTTAAATTCATTGTATTTTTCGATGATTTGTTCGATAGTGTGGATGTGGTCGATAGTAGAATATCCTGGGCGGAAGCCTGCTTGCTCTACTGGTTGGTTATTGTCAATTTTTGTTGATATTCTGCTTAGTATTATTGATGAAAACAATTTATATATTACGGATACCAAACTGATTGGCCTGTAGTTTACAATGTCTAATGGGTTGCCTTTTTTGTACAGCAATACTATATTTGATTGGCGCCATTGTTTTGGAACTTCCTCTCGTTCTATTACCATGTTAAAAAGTATTGTCAGATATGTAACTAGGATAGGTGCTCCAAATTTCAGGGCCTCGTTGGTTATGTTATCTGGCCCCGGGCTTTTTCCTGACTTAAGGGTTTTTATGTGATGCAATATTTCGACTTTACTTATAGGCATGATCGTTGTATCCATATCTATATGCTCCTGATGAGTCGTTCTCGGATATACGTTGTCTTCTTCAATTTTTGTGATTTCTGGTTGTTTTTTGTAAAGTTCTTGGTAAAAGTTGGTTGCAAGCTCTAGGATGTCTTCCCTATTTATTGCTTTCTTCTGACTGTTTCTTAGGCTCTGAATCCATGGTTTGTGTGTATTTAATTCTTTGTATGCTCGCTTTGCGCTTCTGGACGTTGCTAGGTTTTCCTCGATTATTGTTTTCCTGTACGTGGCGTAGTCTTCTCTGATTGCTTTGTAGGTTTGTTTCCAGATGTTTTTTATTTGAGCTTTTGTAACTACAGTTTTATTTTTTGAAGAAGTTAGTTCTCGGCGCTTTGAAATTAGTTCTAATGTATCTTTTTTAAGTATTTTTTGTTTGTTTTTGTTGTTTGTTTTGTTTTCTAATTTAAGACTTGTTGAAATTATTTCTTCTATGTTATCGTTAAGTTTTTGTATGTTTGTTTCGTTCTCCAAACTATCATGTAATGCTTTCGAATTCTCCTCAAGGTTTCGGATATATTCTGTTATTTCTGCCCTAGTCTTAACCGAAATAAAAAGGATGGGTTGTAGTATTGAAGAATATGAAGATTACATCTTCTGCTACATTGGGGAAACGTTAGGACTTCATGGAGTAGGATTTTTGATAAAAAAGTATTTCAAAAATAATATTGTAAACTTTACGGGGATTTCAGAAAGAGTGGCATTCATAAAATTAAAATTTAAAAACTTGTCATTAACACTTATTCAAGTCTATGCTCCCACAGAAAGTGCAGCCGAAGAAGAAATCCATAGGTTTTACGAAGATCTTAGGAGAGCTCATGAGTCAGCTGACAAAAACGTAGTCGTAATGGGAGACTTTAATGCCAAAGTAGGGATGCCGGGTCCTTACGAAAGAGGAATAATGGGCAAATATGGTTATGGTACAAGAAATCTAAGGGGTGAACGCCTTATACAATATGCCAATGAGTATAAGCTATCAGTGCTGAACACATTCTACAAGAAAAAACAATCACGCACATGGGTATCTCCTGACCAAAGAACAAAAAACGAAATTGATTTCATACTGAGCAATAATCCAAAATCTATAACCAATATGGAAATATTAGGAAATGTTAACTTCCCATCAGACCACAGAATGCTGAGATGTTGCCTGACCCTAACATCCCCAAAGATGAGTCGAAGATCATTTCAAAAAACAGTAAGCTTACCCCTATAACATCCCAATTGATTTCTCTTAGTGCATAGTTGAGTTCTAATTGTCTTGTTTTGGATGATAGGGATCTAACGTTGAATGTGCATAATATTAATTTTTGTAACATGGAGCGCCTTTGTTTACTTTTATTGTTGTCCTTATTGATGTCTTCTTCTTTATTTTTCTGATGTAATGGAGGGTGGTGGTCGCTTTCCCCACGGGGACCAGCCGGATTGGGGAGTATTTTGTTTGCGTGGTAATTGTTATTTGTTGTTATGTTCTCCAAGTCCCGACGTTGAATTTGCTCTGGAACGAAATATATTATATGTTTTGTTTACTTTCTTCGGAGCCGTTATGTCATTCTTGTGTTGCTGTTTATTTTCAGAGGGTGATTTGGATTGTGAGTGTTTCCTTTTAGAGTATGTCGATTCTTTCTCCTTTACTATCAGCTTATCATACCTTATAAAGGCGATTTTTCCATTTTTCTCTTCCTGTTCTTTCTTTTGCTTTAGACCCTTTCTTTATAAGATGACATCTTTAGGATAGTCTTCCGTCGCATATATATTTGGAGGGAAGTTTTTATTATTTTTTAAGAGTTCGTATTTACGCCATGTTAAAGAAAGAGTAACCAGGATTGGTCTTATTTTGTTTCCAATTTTTCTTGCCAAGTCTTCTTAGATTACTTATCTCCCAATGGTCCCACTGGCGCACCCCTTCGCTTCTTCGTGCTGTTTCGTTTAGTACATCTATTGCGTTTTTCCAGAGTTCAGCTGTGTTTTTTTCCGTTTCTGCAATGCCATGTAGTATAACATTGTTCTTTCTTGCTTCTCTTTCCAAGTTTTGCACGCGCGTTTGAAAGATTTTCACTTCTTCTTTTAGTTTCTGGTTCTCGGCTATAACAGGACTAAGTTTCTCGTCTATAGTGTTTAAGAGGCTTTTCGTGAATTTTTTAGCCAGTTCTCATTTTGTTCTTTGAAAGATTGTTTCATTTCCTCCATTTTTTCTAAGAGAATTTTTAATTGGGGTTCCATTTTGGGTATTTGTTTCAAAGTACTTAATTTACTTGAGTGCTTAGTACGATATTTTTTATTCTTGGTGAAACTGCCCTCTTGTGACGAGTGGATGTACTAACCATTAATGTTTAACTTATTTTCTTATGGTACGCTTTCTTCCAATTTAGTGTAAAGATGATTATTTTATATGATTTTATTTAATATAGGAAATATAAATAATTCCGAAATTGCACAGCAATAAATGCTCCTTCAATAGTGTGACAGTACAAATGACACTGCAATTAATGCTCTTTATAGTAATTTGCACGTATTTACCTCGACTGCGATATTTTCATTAAGCAACTCGGTCGTAGATATACAAAACAACCACGTCGGATCGAATCTGCCAATCTGGATTCCAAATTCACTATATTTTATTGTTCACATTTTCTAGTCACCAGCACACTTTTGGAAAGTCGATTTTTATTACTTTTACAATGTTGCTGGGCTGAATAACATTAGCACTTTTTTATCGTGTGATATTACACCACTTTTTGTACTTTTGAGACTATACTAGTGCTTGTATGATTTTAAAAATACAAAGCATTCTCCTAATGGCCTCTTCTACTAATGGCTGATATTTATTTGTACGATTAAATTTCTTCATCAAGACTTGTCCAGAATTTGTAAGCCACGATGGAAGAGAAGTGCCGTTAGTAGATCGTCTGGGGTGTCTAAACATTCTTTCATGTGGAGTGCAGTTTATGGCTGTACAAAGTAAAGATCGAATTGAATGTAAGGCTTGAGGTAATACTTGCTCCCAATTTTCTACCGAAAGATTCTTCGTCTTCAGCGCCAAAAGAATTGTTCTCCAAAGAGTAGAATTCAATTTTTCTATTTGACCATTACCTTGAGGGTTATAAGCTGTAGTTCTACTAGTGGCAATACCTCGAACATGTAAAAATTCCTGTACTTCGGCAGAGAGAAATGCTGTTCCGCGATCTGAATGAACGTAAGAAGGCATACCGAATATCATAAACAAGTTGTTGAGGTGTTTAATCACTGTTTTCGAACTCACATCCGGGCATGGGAAAGCAAACGGGAAACGTGAAAATTCGTCAATCACAGTAAGTATGAATTTGTTATTATTGTTTGTTGGAACTGGTCCTTTAAAATCTAAGCTAAGGCGTTCAAAAGCAGCCGTCGCTTTAACAAGTTTCCTCTGGTCATCAAAAGTATTTCGGAAGAATCTAGGTTTTACTTCAGAGCAGGTTTGACAATATTTTGTCATTGTTCTGACTTCTTCAATGGAATAGGGAAGGTTTTTAGAGCGAACCCAGTGAAACATTCTCGTTATGCCTGGATGGCAAAGAGCCTCATGCAGCGATAAAAAATTTGCAGTACGTGTTTCTACAGTGGCACAAACTCGGGATAGTGCATCAGCAGCATAGTTCTCTTTCCCCGGTCTGTATATAATATCAAATTTGAAAACAGCTAGTTCCAGTCGCCATCTTTGAATCTTTTCATTCTTTATCTTACTTGTATGTTTCATATTAAACATAAAAGAAACCGAGCGTTGGTCAGTTACCAACTTAAAGTGTCTACCGATAAGGAAATGTCTCCATTTCTTCAATGATTCAACAATGGCGTAAGCTTCTTTTTCAATGGCGGAATGGTTTTGTTCGCTTGAATTCAAAGTTCTTGAGAAAAACGCCACTGGTCTAGAATTTTGCGTAAGTACTGCTGCAATGGAATGATCGGAAGCGTCAGTTTCGACTGTAAAAGGTATATTTACATCAATTGCATGTCTAGAAGACTTTGCGATATCATTTTTCAGGCCTTCAAAACATTTAATTTGCTCGCTTGTGAGCGGAAAAGTAGTCGTATTAGCAAATGAGTGGCATAAATCTGGCACCGAGTTACCATTTGTTACTCCAAAAGGGATACGCCTGAACTGGTACAAATTTCCGAGCGCTTCAAAAGCGGTAAATTTTCTTTCTTCGGGTAGTATAGGTACTTGATGGTACGCGCTTTTCAAGTCTATTAAACATGGAAAAATATCTTCGCCCTGAAAGATTTGATATCGACCCGTCAAATAGCTCTGGTACGAAAGCTTTGATACACTGGCATAAGACTTTCGAAAGCTTCATTTCCGTGCAGAAACCGACCGCTCCAGAAACAGATGCACAGTCGGTTCCTCTGCCAGAAAAATGGGACAGCATAAAGTTTTAGCTTTTGATAAATCATATATCACCAAATATCTACACATATATAAGCGAAGCCACGGACTACGAAGAAGCGATCACAATACTGCAAAAACTGTATATAAAACCAAAAAATCTGATTTTTGCTAGACACATGTTAGCAACAAGGAAACAACGAACAGATGAAAGTATCGACATATATTTACAAGCTTTGAAACTACTTTCTAAAGATTGTGACTTTGCGGCTGTTGATGCAGAATCAAACAAAAACGATAGCGTGCGTGATGCTTTTATATCCGGTATATCATCGCATAAAATCAGACAAAGGCTTTTAGAAAACTTAAATCTAACACTTGATCAAGCTTACAACCAAGCACTCTCTCTAGAAACTGCAGAGATCAACTCTCAAAGCTTCCATACTGTGTCTTTAAATGCCGTTGAAGAAGAACCTATATTAGTCTGTCCCAAATCACAAACTGTGCACGACGAGACCTGCTCTTCTGTTAATAATCCTCGACGACGAAAATGTTTCTTTTGTGGGGGACAAATACATCCTCGTAAGAACTGCCCTGCATTTGAAAAGTCTTGTCAGCTCTGCAACAAGAAGGGGCACTTTGCCACTGTTTGCAGAAGCTCTTCTAAACCTACAAATTGTATGGTAGTAGGTACTGAAAATCTTTCTTGTATCACAGCAGCGTCACCTTATTCATTACGCAAAGCAACTGTACCCGCGTATATTCGAGATATAAGAGCAGAGGCACTTCTGGACACTGGCAGCTCCATCAGTTTTATAAATGACAGTTTCATCCTCAAAGAACATTCATCGCTAGAGTTCTTTTTTGAAGTTTACATCCAAGAAGTTTACATCAATAAATAATAATAATACAATAAAAATACAAGCAATATTCGACAAAATTTACGAGTTAGAGAAAAACATTCAAAATACAAAAACAGAAACTAACACGAAAATGACGGATTTTTTTTAAGTGTAAGTATTTAAGTTCTAAATAACATAAATAATATATGTTGTGCACAATATGTACATAATATACGTTCTGCACATTATGCACATCATAACATATTTACGACATTCGTACTTGCTGTGACTTGTTATTGCTGCGTACCTCTATAAAGCTTTGGTCTGGTTAGAGAGAAACGCCAGGTAGCATTAGCGCGAAACTTTGGTTAGAGAGAAACCTGTATAAGTTTGACTGTATACACAAAATTAAAAAACCTAAATAGGTATATGGCCAACCGGCGCAAGCACTTCGGGTAAAAACTTCAAAATGGTTGGTTTCAGAACTCTAAACAGGTATTCCAAAAAATCACCCGTGGCTAGGTGGCTAGATAACGTATTTCAATTTCCGGATTCCGCCGGTGTCATTGTCGTATTTTTTTGTATAATCGGATAGCAGATTGTTCAAAGCCATGGGGCGAGTTTACAAGCCGCTATTGAACTTGCTGACTTGTAGCTTAAAAAATAAAAAGTTTCCCCGTGTAAACGAGTCTTAAAACGAAGAGTACTATATTCTGTGGCATTAACCTAAAAAAATGACATAAAACCAGAGCAAGTAAATAAAAATAAACATACTAGAAAATAATAATATTTGTAATTGAAAAATTATTAAATATTCAATTTTCAACATAAATATGTCAGATAAGAAAAAAAAGGTTATAATGACTAAGGTTCGTACAAGCATAAAATAGTTAACACTATTGAACCGTTTAAGCCTCAATATCGCTCAACCAAAAGGTAGCTCTTCCTACTGTTATTATATATTTCTTTAAAGTAAACGTTAATTTCAGGATGTTGTAAGCGTGGCTACGCCTAAGAGGCCTGTTATCCTAAAGTCTGATAGAGAGACAAAAGAACAAAATAAAGATAAAGTGGAAAAAGAAAAGCAACCCACCATATTAATAAAAACTCGGGAGCAAAGTACTCCTAAAGAGGAAAGGCCAGTGAGTCCCAAGTCTCATGTGTCAGATGATACTCAACAGCCATGTAAAATAGCACAAAACGAGGCAAAAGAAAAAAAAGGTATTTTGTACAACTTTTCCAAACTAAATATTTGTATAATAGCTATTAACAAATTCACTGTGTAAGATATTTTTAGATTATTATTTACATTTCAGTTAATTCCTTCTTCTGAATAATATACAGGATTGTTACAAACATATTTACTTTAAGTAACCTGGAATCTTTAACAAATTTGAACAACGAAACAATGGTTATAAATGGTTTTTGTGTTTCTCATTCATGTTTTATGGTTTTCCCAAAATAACTCTTGTACAACAAGCTATGCTGTGATGGAACTAAACATTATTGTTATAGTAGGGCCTTTCTCAACAACTACACCCTGACCACTGTATTTACCACCATAGTTTTATTCCTCATTATTTGTTCTACAAATAAACTTGGCCCATTGAGTCACTAATATGGCTGGAGTAGTCATTAATATAAATTTCACATCTTTTCTTTTGTACTTTTTTTAGAACAAAAGCCATGTATTTTGAAGACCATGTCAGAGCCAGTCAAATTGCTAGATGAAAATTTGGAATTCAATAACACAGCTCTAGAATACTTAAATGATAATAACAGTAACTATTTAATCATAGGAGTGATTGGTAAGAGTTACTATACTGTTAACACATTTAACATGTTTTAATTCAATATTGTGAAAATATATTACTTTAAATATATGTATATAGAACTTTTCAAGTGGGCAGATATATTTATTATTTAGTTTCATAAATCATGTTTTCTTATAAGCTAGTAGGTTACCTGTCTTCTATGAAACTTGCTCACAGATTACAAGCAAATGTTAATTTCGTATGTGAAATAAGAGCCATTGGTGTATGTATAGCTGGTATTACTTAACTACTTCTATATGGTAGGGGAGCCCACGATGCTAAATGGGGATTTACTCGAGCGTCGTAGAGACCTATTGGGATGCAAAGCTTAGATAATAAGAAGAAAAAAATGTTATATGATATATACCTTTTCATCGGTGGGGGAAGCGGCTATAGATTATTAAATATGTAAAAAAAACTGTTGCATGGACATCCTCGAGCGCGTCAGATATTGATAGCATCAATGCCCTACGTATTTTTAATAATGTACGTATGTTAATCTGATCGTTTGCATGATGCGGGTGGTTGTATTTAAGGGTTGAAAATGAAAAAAAAATAAAAATTATCGAGCGCGTCAGATTTTCTAAGGGAGTGTTAAGTGCACCAAAAAAAGCTCTCATTCACTAATCTGACGATTTCGATGGGACGCAAACCCACGGCCATTTTCATAATTTGCAAAAAAAATCGCAATTTTGAAATACTCAAGCGCGTCAGATTAAGATAAATGTGGTTCATCTTTATGTTCTAAACGTACTGTCTCATAATCTGACGATTATCTAGAGGGATTCGCCTGATCTGACAAAAAAAATTTAGAAAAACGGTTCACCTAAAGGGCCATCCCTGCAACTTCCCGCTAATTCCATTCCTGGGCGCTTAAAATTGATATTTTGAGCTCGCTGAGTTCAAAGAAATAATATTTCTATGCATTTGAGCTCTCCCAGCTCGAAAGTCTGATAGAAGTTTCATAGAACACTATTTTTGGAATTTTCAAACCGCAATAACTTTTGAATGGATCAAGCAATTTTCACGCGGTTGGCGGCATTCGACGCAGTTTTATCATCCTCATATGTAATTTTGCAATTTTAATTGATCGAACCACAAATTTCGGAGTAATCCCGACGAATCCCACTTTTTCGGGTTTCTTTCGTTCACGATATCTCTCGAACGAATCAACCGCTTTTGACCAGCTTGGTGGCGATCGACGTGGTTTTTCAAGCTCAAAGGCGGATTAGTTTTTGAAGTTGATCGATAAAGAAACCACTTTAAAAAAAATTATTTCTTATTTTTTTAAGATTTTTCAAAATTTCTCAAAATCTATCGGTCCGAATCGGTTCAAATTCACAGGAAATGTAATTTTGAGGGAAATATTTAGAACGCCGTTTAGTAGATTCCGATCGGCTTAAGTAAATGTAGGCATCACGCAGCTGCACGCATTTAACTTTATCGACGAATTTTTGTTATTTCGGCTTGCGGAAATCGTCAGATTATATATTTTTCATTATTCCTGAATTATTTCCTTCAAAATAAAAAAAAATTTAGCTACGCTCGAGAATGTCGAGATGACGTTTTTTTTTTACAACTTTGTTGCCCTCCCCTTTTTTTACGTCACTTTCAAATTGTCAGATTAGTGGAATATACACTTTTTAGGATGTAATTAACTCACCCTACCTTAATCTGACGCGCTCGGGAATTTCTGATGGTCAATTTTTTTTTACTAATCTGATCCTGTCTCCTTCACGGGCGGCCTTATATATGGGCCTCATATTTTGTGGAGGTACTTAACCGGGTACAAGGTATCCCCCTATATATTAATCTGCCGCGCTTTAGTAAATCCCGAAATCCCCTCTTGGGCTCCCCTACCAATATAAATATATATTATTATTATGTACTAAGATGATTTGATATCTTTTGAACTATTACACAATGAAGATTCAAATGTAAAGAAAAAATTGGAGGATAGTTGTAATACTTTCAAATTACATAAGTAAATTACTGATCTGATAATATTCAGTATAATATATTTAATAAATTATTTGCAGGTATGCAAGGTGTTGGAAAATCTTTGATACTCAATCTTATCAACCAAAGTATGCCAATAGAAGACATTTGCCATACAATACTTCAATCTCATGAAATGCCAGATACAAACGAAGTTGATGAAAGTATTGAAAGTCATACGGAGAAACTAAGCATAGACAAAAAACAAGAAAGACCTCACTTTAAATTTAAAATGCAGGATATTGAACAAATTGAAAAAGGAGTACACTGCACTAAAGGTAGTTTAAATTTATATATAATTGTATCCAGCAAAATATTTAAAATCTGACTTAAAAATATTCCAAATTGGACCTCTATTGGTATATGTATGATTTTAAAATTATATTAGAGAAAGTTCATTTTTAAATAGTATAAAAATGCACATATATCAAACAATAGTGTTAAAAAGAATGGGGGCGGCCTGGCATAAAATTGTATCAAATAGCAAATCAGATACAGCTTTGTCCATACCATGTGAATAATATGAAAAATTGTCATATGTGAATCAACTTCTTATATTTTTGGTTGTGTTGTTTGGTCTACAAATACTAATAACTAACTAACAATTACTAATGTACTTAGCACATTTGATAAGTTTATTATGCAACTTTTTTAATATTATCTCTTTTTTATTACAGGTGTTGATATGTATGTAACAAGTGACCGTGTCATCCTCCTTGACTGTCAACCATTATGGTCGCCATGTTTGATTGACACAAATATAAATGCTGTAACATCTAGAAGTGCTAACATTGTGACTGTAGATTGTCTTCAAATAGCTTCCTATTTAATGGCCATATGCCATGTTTTAGTGGCTGTCCAAGACTGGTTTTGTGACTACAATTTCATAAGGTATTGTATATGCTTGTTCGTAATACTTGTGTATAAGAAACATAAAAAAATATTTATATATATTTCTGTCTGTTGTTAGTGTGAATGACTAAAACTGTATGCCCTTTTTACACATTTAAAATGATAATACTGACATTCTATTAATGCAACCTGTACAGAAGTGTATCTGCGGTGCCATTGTAACTTCAATACAATCCGATAGATGGCGCTTAGATAAAAAGGGGATATGTAACTCAAGTGACATGAATTTTTATTTTGATACTTATATATCAAAATCCCGTTACTTATAATCCTTTAAAACTAATATCAATTTTAATTTTTAATATGAGATAGAATTTCCCAGATACATACAAGCGGCAGAAATGTTGAGGCCATCCCTCTCATCCACGAATGTTAATCAAGAATCGGACTCTGTTCAAACAGAAGTTCACCCACACTTACTGCTATTACATAATAGATGTCAATTAGAGGACTTCACTCATTCCAATGTCCATACTATTCAAGATTTTTACAGGTACTCCACTCATATTGAGGTTTAATGGATTTTATAAAGAAAAGGCAAATATTATCATAGCTATACAGTATGTGTGTTCTCGTGTACTTTCAGTTACATCAATAATAAAAATAGAATAGATATTTAGTATGATAAAAGCAGTATTTTTTTAAACAATATTTAACTTAGTCAATAATTTCAGGATATTTTAATTTCTGTTCTTGTATATTTAATTCATTTTATTTTTCTATATAGATTAGACAGAATTAAACATTTATTTAAAAAATATATAATTTTAATAGAACCAACATAAATACATGGAGTTTGTTAATTGCCTAGTTGTTTTGAGTATCAAACTCGTTAATTCATAACAGATAAATGGATGAAATTAGGGTATTAAAGCAACATTCCTGATAGAAAAAAAAATCAATCCATTTTAAGTTTAAGTGAATTTTTTTTTTATAAATATCGGTTGCTTTGCAAAATGGCCAAATGTCCAAGGCACCTCAAACGTAGTATTTTTTTTCAGAAAAGCATTTCAGCGCTCAAACCTGCAATTAAAATCTGGCATGTACTTGTATAGTGATACAAGTAACAATGGCGTCAATGTTGATAGTGTTAACAAATGGTATAGTGTTGAAAAGTGTGGACACCCTATCAATTTGTTTCTGTTACCAGAAGTATATGAAGATTATGGTACGTGTTTAGTAGAAAAACTTTTTACCAAAGCAATTTGTATCGAGATATTAACATCATTAGATAATTAGAATTTTTATTGAAACCATAATTCCTGTTCCGATGCCACATTCCGAATTTACATCAAACTTTAATATTTACATAGAAAATTTACTAAACAAATCAAGAATGTATGATGAACATATGAATAGGAATGTTAGTCCTACAAATTATTAAGAAGTAAAAAACAATTCTGTCTTAATTATTACGTTACTTGACCGATCGGTTATCCAAAAATGATGAGTGTAATGCATGTTTATAGATGGTTTTGAATATCTCTGTGATACTGTGAATTAATGCCTAAATAATGTGGAATTTTATAGATAACAAGGAAATTTACCGGGGCCATCCAGCATTTGAAGAATTAGCGAAAAGACTGCGTTGGATGTTATTGGGCGTAAACAGACATCAGATAACAAATGTCCCGAATTTATCGGAAAAAGGCTGGTTCCATTTTTGCAACAAAGCCTGGGAGTCTATCAAGAAATGCACATTTTTCTTGGAGTATGAAAGGTTTTTGCCTTAATAGACCAGTGCCGATAATTTTTGAAACCTAAAAAAATTACAGTAGGATGAAACCCATTAGAAAAGCTGGGGAATATGATCAAAATGAAATGAAAAATAAATTACGGTCGATCTGAGGTCGGGAAGGGGTAGGGGGGGAGTTTTAAGGGTAAAAAACGGTTTATCTCGATTTCCGGCAAAACTACAAGTCCTATCGAAGAAAGTTAAATGGCAAAGTTGGAGGTAATAAAAAGATCTAAAACTTTTGTATTCACACATTTTTCACATAACCTCAAAATTTATGTGAAAATTTCAAAAAACCAAGTTTTTGGTTTTTTATTTTTATCTTTAACAAAAATTATTTTTTTTTAACGAAATTTGGTGAAAACTTACCTTTCTATGTCCCAAATACACTGTAATTTATTTGATTAAAAATATTTATTTGTTCACCTTATTTTGAATTAATATCGAAAAAACACCCTAATTTTCAATCGAAAATTCTGACGTCAAAATTTCAGCTTTTTTCAAAAAGTTGGTGTGCTTTCAGTTCGTTGAAATCTCTACTTTCCTATGGTAAAAATATATATATATATTACCATAGTAAATCTTCTCAGAAAACGCAAAAAATCGTATACAGTAACGCCCAGACCTGTCATCCCCTTCCTTACTTCTCTATGAAATACGAAAATTTTAGCCCATCTAAAGGCTAAATTTTTTTTTAAGTCACTCAGGTATATATAAATTATCTTAAAATAGTAATAAATAGGCATCTGATTATAATTTAAAGAAGATTCATAGAGAAGTAGGGAAGGGGATGACAGGTCTGGGCGTTACTGCATACGAATTTTTGCGTTTTCTGAGAAGATTTACTATGGTAATATATATATATTTTTTTACCATAGGAAAGTAGAGATTTCAACGAACTGAAAGCACACCAACTTTTTGAAAAAAGCAGAAATTTAGACGTCAGAATTTTCGATTGAAAATTAGGGTGTTTTTTCGATATTCATTCAAAATAAGGTGAACAAATAAATATTTTTAATCAAATAAATTACAGTGTATTTGGGACATAGAAAGGTAAGTTTTCACCAAATTTCGTTAAAAAAAAATAATTTTTGTTAAATATAAAAATAAAAAACCAAAAACTTGGTTTTTTGAAATTTTCACATAAATTTTGAGGTTATGTGAAAAATGTGTGAATACAAAAGTTTTAGATCTTTTTATTACCTCCAACTTTGCCATTTAACTTTCTTCGATAGGACTTGTAGTTTTGCCGGAAATCGAGATAAACCGTTTTTACCCTTAAAACTCCCCCCCTTCCCCTTCCCGACCTCAGATCGACCGTAATTTATTTTTCCTTTCATTTTGATCATATTCCCCTGCTTTTCTAATGGGTTTCATCCTACTGTAATTTTTTTCACTTTTTATTTATTTTAAAGGCTATCTGCACTGGTCTATAATGCCTCAATGAAGAAATTTAAAATGGTTACCGCGCACCGCCGTATTTTGGCATGGAAATGTCATATTATACGTTTATTGGGCAATTCTATGAACTGGTTGAAGTTTTTAAACTTGGAGAATGTTTAAAATAATTTATAAAAATTGTGTAAATAAAACCATAATTATATCTAAAGTTTTTTATTTTGGTCCCAACATTACTGATACACACTATTTATAAGAGGTTTTCGTCTCTGTTCTGGTGGCTTATAAGCATGTTGATAAACACTGGCTAATCTCCAATGTTCAGGATACCCAGTAGCATTCGCATCGCGCCAAATACTAAATGGTGGTGCCAAAGTGGGAATGGTATATGATTTCTTTGTATATGGATGACGCATTTTTGGCATCTTAACTCCTTTGGAATCGTTGGAGTTAGTGCTTTGAATGGAGTTGGGATTACCAGCTTTAAATGCGAACTTATAGTCTTCTTTCTGCTTTATTTCTTTTGCAACTTTATCGCCGCCACAGGAATAACAATGACGATGCTTCCCGTTATTGTTAGATGATATACTGTCTTTTGGTGAATGGGATATTTGAGATTCATTCGGGGAACTTTGGTGCAATTTTCCCTGTGCCAGAGGAGTTTTGGTATACGATTCTAAGCTGTTAATACGTCGACTTCCACGGTTGTTGCTAGTTTCTTTTACGTATTTATCGGGTTTGAAATCACGGCTTGAGTTTTTGGAAGACGAAACAGTACCGCATCCATTTACACCATCACATTTTTCATCTTTCGATGATTGTGCCGAGCTTTTCCTACTAGAAGACTTAGATCTGGACTCTTTATCATTATGTGTATGTTGTGGACAATTTTGTAAATCGCATGCATCCTTCCTCTTTTCTTTCGTCATGTCTTTTTCAAAATGCGGTACACTGTGACGGCCAACATCATGTCCATTACGGTTCTGATTAAAAATTGATTGCGAATGGCCGGTTATATATTCTTGTTCGTCCTTCGGGGTGTGGACCATTGTAAAAACTGCTGGTGCTGTGGAGCCATTTGAGCCATCTATATGCTTCGGGGGTTTTGGTTCTCGGTGATCGTCAGTTTTGAAATCCCAGCATATGGCCAAGTCCATGAGGGATAAAGGCTTTTTGTACTGTCCGCCTAGGTCAAATGATGTTGCTGGGCGTTGCTTGCGTTCTTCCGTTTCAGGCTTCTTGGGGTCACACGTTTTTGGTCTGTGTACACGCATTTTCGTGCAACAAGTCGGACCAGATGCACCATATCCTTTCCAACCTATCGCATAAGGTTTGACAACGATGTCCGAATCACGATGTTCGCCCACCTTAGTTAAATGTCTATAGCCCAAAGTATCTGGCAAGGGTTGGTGTTCAAGATTACCAGCATGCATATTTTTGGCAAAACTAAAATTTTGCGTAACATTTACATGGGGCAATGTTAAGGGTCTTTTGGTTTCTTTCATGTCCTTTACATGTTTCGCATTTTCGGCAACTTTACGCCAAAATTTTTCATTTGGTTCTTCCTGAGGGCCGTGAATTTTTTCAATCGCGTCTTTCACTAAAAGATCATAGCTTTCGTGGCGTTTGTCTGGTTCTGTAGCTGAACCTGGAACGTAAGGTCCGTGGCCTTCACTGTCTACCGGCTCCGCTGTTTTATATAATTCCAAAGGATCAGAATTGTGAGTATTATCTAAAACTTCCTCTTCACTTGGTTGAAGTGTATAGTCCTTAATGTAACAGACATGTAAAAATGTACGAAAAAATATAAAACATAAATATAATAATAATTATTTATTAATAAATATTTATAATGAAATTATTTTTTCTGCGAGTGCTTAGGCCTGCGTGCGTGTAGTGGGCATTGCTTGGGCTGCAAAAAAACAAAATATTATAAACACAAAAAGCTAATAGGATAATAATACAGTAACTGAAAACAAAAATTGCATTTATTAATTTTAATTTCTGTGCATTTTGAATATAACATCTCATCAGTTATTTTCTTAAGCATAATTAAATAATGTGATTGGTATTTAATATTAAGATATTAAAAAGCTGCTTCTTATCATTTAAAACAAGTGACGGTCGACACATTGTATTTATCTTATCATTTATCTTGCGCAGGTGCACTATCAACATTAATTACTCATAGTTTCAAAACTTTGTTCACTAATCCTTCAAATAATAATAAACGTAATTTTAAATATGAATTTAAAAAATAATAGTTTCTTAGTAATAAGTAAGATATACGATAACAGCTAAAAAAATAATGTAAAAATTTCCAGGAATTAATTTGTAGTGCAAAATACTCGAAAGCACTATTTAAGCTACATATATATTGCAATCTTTGAGTCTGCAAATGTAACTTAATACCTACCAATTTAATTCAAACTAGAATAATATCCAAAAAGCGCAAAACAGACCATAACTACGAGCTTACTTTAAACGACTGTTCCTCGGCATCTGTAGTTTCTTTCGCCTTTGAACCGCGCACGCGCGTTTTCGCCTTGCTTATAACTTTAGGCCTCTGAACTCGAAGATTAATCCAATCTGGGAATCTACCAGCCGGTGGCTCCTTCGCCAACTCTTCGGCTAACAAAACAAAAACATATCGAAAACAATACAATTGCGTGTCACGGTATATTTTCAGCCCTGTATGCGAACTACGTGTAAGCACGACATAAAGTTTGCAAAAGAAATAATTTGCAATTGTATTTCCTTTATGCGTCTTGTGTATAATAATTTTTAAGGCGAATAGTAACGTCTTAACCACCGTATGTGGTTCGGACCTAAGGAGTGAACTTAGAAGCTAATTAAGTACCGTTAATATGTATGTTTGTGTAAATAGCAATTGTATTTCCTTTATGCGTCCTGTGTATAATATTTTTTAAGCAGAATAGTAACGTCTTAACCACCGTATGTGGTTCGAACCTAAGGAGAAGAGGAACTTAGTAGCTAATTAAGTACCGTTAATATGTATGTTTGTGTAAATAGCAATTGTATTTCCTTTATGCGTCCTGTGTATAATATTTTTTAAGCAGAATAGTAACGTCTTAACCACCGTATGTGGTTCGAACCTAAGGAGAAGAGAGAACTTAGTAGCTAATTAAGTACCGTTAATATGTATGTTTGTGTAAATTAAGTTTAAAATAATGTTTTGTCAACACGTATACCAACAAAACCAAATGTGTAATAATATCTAAGTAATCTAAAGGTATCTAATTTTTTTATACAATACTAGCTGACCCGGCAAACTTTTTGCCATGTATATTATTTCTAGAAAACATTGTTTTAGTTCAATAAAAATAATAAAAAAATAGGGGTTGATCGTAGAAGAGTGATATCATAAAATAATAAAAACAAAAATTAAAAAAAAATTTTTTTGGGGTGGACACCGCTTATCACTTAGGGGTTTGAAAGATAGATAGTAGCCGATTCTCAGACTTACTGAAAATGTATAAAAAATTTCATAAGAATCGGTCGAGCCGTTTCGGAGGAGTATGGGAACGAACATTGTGACACGATAATTTTATATATATAGAGATTAAAATCGTATCAATTATTTATTAATGCCATTCTAATCTTAGGATTAGAGCGCCAAACGTCCGTGGTAATGGTATGACATATTACGTATTATTTACAGGTTCGATGTCAGGACGAATAACAATTATTTTGGAATGAAAGCCGCATAAAACCTGCCTGAAATAAACATATGTGTGATCTGACTACACCACGACCTATTATGGAGTTATCTTCTTCCATTGAGCGCAAATACACTGTTTTTGGGTACAGCGCAGCGCCTTCATTTAAGTTCAATATAGTAGGAAATCTTAGGTATAATAAGCTATTAAACGATACAAATATTTAGTCGATACGATATACTTTTTTAGTAAAATGTTCCTGCTTCACTCCTTAATTTTAATCTGCAATAAAAGAGAAAATTACAATCATTACCGACTTTCCTCGTAATTTTCTTCGGCAAGTCCCATGTGCCGGTATAATGTCCGAAACACCTCGACGTCCCCCGGGGAGCACCGGGCAAGAAGTGTCCATTTAAGTCGCAAATTGGTTTTGGATCAGGCCGCATTTCGAGGGGCCGCGCTCTCGTTGGTGCCCAACGCGGTACTTGCCAGTTGCCGAGACGTTTTGGGGTAGATTCTCTATTGAACTGTAATAAAATTATTTTATTATGATTATAAAATAAATTATATTGTTGTCTATCGTATATAACTGAAACTAAAATCATGACGCAGACTGCCATCGTTATCGAGATTTATTTGGTAGGTACTTTAATAAAATCAATTTTATATTCTTGAGTATTAAACATATAATTTTGAATTGTGTAAAATATAATACAAAAAACTAAAATTTAAAAGTTACATTACATTGTTAAAATTGTATGATTTTACCGCTTCATTTCTTCTTATGATATATCCCTACTAAAGTGATAAAATAATTCATAAGAGCTTCCTCCTCTAATTTTGGATTATTTGTCAAAACTTAAAAGCTTTAATTCGCGTAGAGACAGAAGTAATTTGAAGTCAATTTCGAATGTAGGGCACCATGATTTTTGTCGTGAATTTGACAGACTCATACAGTCATCGTATCAGGTGATCTAAATGTCTAATATCATACCGCTATTGGGATTCTATTTTCATATCTAATACAATAATTTTTGCCCTCAGTCAGTCTCTAGCTGGATTCAATAATGTATCGTAAAATTATCTAAATTACGTACACTGCTGGCGACTGAACTTTTAGCCCGAATTTGAACAATACTGGGATATTATAAATGGAGTACGCTGGTTACCCATCATACTCGGTAAGCGGAAACAGGGTCCCGATGAGGTGGGAATTCAAAACTCGTAGGAACTATGCTAGTCTCCTACTAGAGACCATAAAATAAAATATGTTTATTATGGAATGTAAGATACAGATACATTAAATTTGAAACGGTAGACATCCCTACTCATCGGCAAAGAAGACAGAGGGTGTAGGCCGAGAGAAAAAGCCGACGTAAAAACTCTTGGTACTCTTTTAAAATAGGTAGCAAATTATCAAACAAAATGACTATGGCAAACAACACTTATTTTATAACAAATATCGCAAATTTATTAGAAGTAGCTTGTCTAGTAGTAGTCCCAGGCCCTTTTATACCCTAGATAATCGTTAACTTTAAAGTAAGCTTTTTTACACAGCTTTTCTTTAATACATTTCATAAATTTATTAAAAGTCAGAGATAAAAGATCCTCTGAGATTTTTTTATACGAGTGTATTCACTAAGACATCATGGAATATTACGATCTAGCCTAACTTAAGACTAATAAGTAATTTAAGTCTAACCTAATTGACTAAAAAGGATGGGATTTTATTAAAGAAAAACTATTTTTTTTCCTTTTCCAAAAAAAGAATTACTAACATATTGGACTAGACTCGCGTCTAAAAGGAAGCTGGCGTAGGAATCGGATTAAGCATATGCGAAGAGGTACATAGAAAGACATCATATAATTTAATTTTGTTTTAGTAAGTAATAATGAGATTAATTTTTTAATGGCAAGGTGCCTTTATATTTGACAACAATTATAATTAACTGTTCTTATTATTATAACATTATGATATGATAAATGCATGCCTATTTTTATATGGCTGATTATCGTCGCTGTAGAATGATAACCTCGTATGTCCAGAGAACCAAACATTCCAGGAAACGCAAAATGTTTCATTTCGTCAATGTTCGTTAAAATATTAGTATGTGCTTTTGTCCATAGTTTTAGATGGTAAAAAGGACTTATTTATGTTGTTAATAAATAAGTCCTTTTTACCATTTGTTCACGAGTTAAATGACATAAGAGTCTAAGAATAAAAAGTAAATGGTTTTTTGACATACGAGGTTATCATTCTACAGTGACCTTATGCGGTGTTTTTTTATCATTAATCAAACTGAATGTACCACTTTCTGTGCAATTTTTTTTTCAATAGATTATTAGTGTTTATACAATTGGTGTTAATGGGATTGTAATTTATTTTAAATAAGGCTATTATGAATGTATCTAAGTTAAACAAAAAATTATTAAAGTCGAATACCATCTTGATACCTTTATATGAGCACAGTAGAAAACATTTAGATTACAAATTTTACCAGCCAAAAGGGTAACTGCAAATATTGCGATGTGCGGTTATAAAATAGTCAAGAAATTAATAATAAATGACTTGATGAAGGGAGACACGCGACTGCGGAATGACGCACGCGCCGTTAATGTTTAATCATTTTGTAACAACTGTGTTTATTTTTAAATTGTACTCATATTTAGGTTATAATGTACAGTACAATGTATTATTTTGAATATGTCCATATAATTATTCTTATTATTGAACTAAAATAAGATTATCTTTTTTCACCTGCGCAGCCTACTTAGCGGCTTTCCAACTGTGTTACATAATGGGCTAAAAACGATTTAAGTGTTTATTACATTCAATAACGATTTATTATGCCGTTATTTGTAACACATGTATTAAAAATAAAATCAATGGCGCTACAACCATTTTGGGTCTGGGCCTCAGATTTCTGTATCTGTTTCGTGATCATTTGTTAATCTAATCGGCAAGTAGGTGATCAGCCTCCTGTGCCTGACACACGCCGTCGACTTTTTGGGTCTAAGGCAAGCCGGTTTACTCACGATGTTTTCCTTCACCGTTTGAGCGAATGTTAAATGCGCATATAGAAAGAAAGTCCATTGGTGCACAGCCGAGCGAACCTACAACCTACTTGGCCAACACTGTTCAAACTCATTCGTTCTCAGAAAACCTCACACACATGTATTACTAAACATAATATTGTACATTGGCTTATAATGTAATTTCCTGAGGCGTGACATTTCTTCTAAAAAGTCAAATCTAATTGTGCAAGTACATAAGATATATAAATTAACTTTTTAGTAATTGGAGATATGAACAACTCGAAGTTTACCTTGATTTTTATAAATCGATTCTGTAGGCAGCAATAAATATTTTTATTATTAGCGAATTTTGTGAAACTACAAACTAAATTTTATATAGAATATCCCCAAATTGAAATGGGCTCTTGAAATAGTCACAGTGTAGACACAATTGCTAGCAATATATAATTTTAGAGGGCTTGACAAAATAATTCTAAATTATGACCAGCATTTAAATGAGGCAAATAGGCGTGTGACGTATATGGGGTAAATAATTATTTGCAACCCTTTGTTGGGGGATGATTATGACGCCTCACATGAAGGGCCCTGACACCTGCTTACAATAGATTTATTTTTTATTTGCCCTGTAAGGAAAGAATTATCCTTAAGGGCTGAAATGCATAGAGCATTTGTCTTTGTAACAAAGACAATAATGTTAATTTGCGAGTTCTAAAAAACCTATTTTAACTATTAGTGCGCAGAAATCTATTATAACTGTTTATCTATACAGTTATATTACCTAAGTACATACAATTTTAGAGATTATAAACTGGTTGATAATTTTATAAAATTGCAAATTTCAGCAAGTTTTTTTTGAAGAAACTTTTTGTAATCTTTTGTTGTGATTGTTTTTAATGTTAAAAAATGTTTACGTTTAATCGTAAACACTTAATTGGCCCCTAAAATCAGTAATCTACAATGGTAGGTAGGTAATGAAAAGTTGTTAATGAGAAATCTATTGAAATATCAATCTTTAGTAGTGAAATTGGATTGGGATTGAATATAGAAAGCGGCCGTAAGTATGTCGCCTTACGAAGTAGCGTGACATCCTTCAACTTTACTATTTTTAGAATAAGTATATATAATAGTTGTCTGAGACCTCGCATCCTTCCGGCTTCATGTCACGCGATATTCATAGGTTATGAAATTATAAGACTATGGTCTACGAGTTCTAGAAAAATCCGAATTCCACTCTCAGCACGGATGCATTTACTAAACAAAATTATTTTGTATGTCCTTGATAATGTAACGATCACAAGCGATCATGTATGGCTCCTATGAATAGCCTATGAACAGCATTACACACTTGGAACGAACCAAAGAGGAAAAGTGAAACATTCTTTTTTGTGATCTCTCATTATATTTTTTATAAAATAAAAAATATATTAAAATTAAAAATTATTAAAAAATTAAAAATTATTATTAAAAATTATTTTTTTTTCTTTGATTATTGTTATGATGTGTGTTTATGTGCGTGTGTTTTTGTTAGTAATAAATGTTATGTCTATGTCTAATTACTCTTAACGCATATAAACTGCATATGAGGAAAGTAGTCAAGGAAATTGTTGACAATTGTATAAGATTTACCTGCGCGACTACTAGGTATACCTGGATTTCAAACCCTTATTTATTTCTCGACTTATTTCCATTATCAATATACTTATGTTCTTTTATGTATAAACTCGAACTAATCTTGAATAAATCTAACAATCTAATAAATTCAAAACTTAAAATTCCTTGTAATATCGTCGGCTAATCTACGTACCTAGTACCCATTTGAACTTGTAACAATGGCTTTGTTATAAAAATACTTTTTTATACAAACAAAACTATTAACTAAAGACCAGGACAGACGTCAACTAGGGATTACTATAATACACAAAACCGTGAAAAATTATCATTCTCTCGCAAATAGATTCGGCCCCCTTTTCAATGACCCGTTGTCACCAATTTTTGATGCAAACAAAAGAGGTTGTTATTTATATAAAGCTAAGGGCTCATTTCATAAAATATGAATTCCAAAGATGTTTACCATGTAATTGGATGTATCTAAGTTGGATTAAAGGAATTACAATTTGTTGGCAAATAAAAAATGTGCCAAATATAGGGGAGTTAATGGGAGTGCAGGTGCAGTGTTAAAAAAGATGGGATTATAAGTTGGATCAACTAGATTTCATGTGGGGATGGACAGCAATAAAACAGTTTTATACACATCTTTACAAAAATCTATAACTGTTTGTTACATAAATTTGCCGAAGAATGTTTATAAATATTAAATATGTATATGAATATTTTGTTAGAACTTACCTGTCCACTGTCAAAATTAAAAGCCATATTTCTAAATCTTGAAAAAGAACTCGAAGACGTTTGAAGATGAAAAACACTACTCGAAAATATCACAGTTTTCACTAATCAATTTAAAATCGTCAAAAAATTTGTAAATCCATCAAAATGCCGTCAAAATACATTTTTCTACATGTTGTTGGCTGAAAAGTTGTGTAAAATTATTGGAAAACGCTATCGGCCTAACGACGCTGTCGTCATGACAATTTTCCATTTTCATGAGTACTTGACAAGCTAAAAGGTTTCGCTATAGGAGGGAAATTTTAAACCATCGTGAAGTTTTCCATGTGAATCTTATTGACATAATTTGTTTAATATTTTTTTTGTAATGTGTCTTTTTCGAAAAATTAAGTGACTTAAAATAATATTTAGAGCTAATTCAGAAATAGAAGTGTCATTTCAACTATCGCCTCCATTTTCTCCAAAATAATGGAATCCATTATTAACGGCTAGCTCCTGAGGTATCTAGAGGGCCAGCTGATTAGCGATTATCAGTACGGCTGTCGTCGTGGCCGCTCAGCTAGCGCGAGCGGTCGAGGTGCTAGCGGTTAGTTTAGATATAACTAAATCCGACCTTAAACCCGTGAACGCTAGGGTCCCACAAAGCTGTGTCCTATTATTAGTTTATTATGTATATCAATGATATGTTGCAACTTGCAACTTTATAAAGCGCAAATTCTGCCCCACATGTAATACTGCTCTCACCTCTGGCCGGGAGCTCCCCGGTATCAGCTTTTTTTCTTATTCTTCGCAAGAATCGTCAACGACCAATCAGTTTCCGAGCTGGATCCCTTGGCGTTGCGTAGAGCATCTATCCAACCAGCTGTCCATTGAAGTATTTCCGAGCCAATCCGACTTATGGTCCTTCAAAAAAAGAGCGAACCTATTCTTAAAAGGTCGGCAACGCACTCGCGATTTTTTCTTTATTTTGAGCTTAATTTATATTTCTGCGGAAAAGAACAACATCGTAGGGAAATCGGCTGGTTTTGTAGTTTAACTGGCACAAAAAGCAAATATGTATCTCCTAAAAGCAATAAAACAGATGTTGAAATAAATTACCGTAAAGATTTGTAAGCTTTACTGTACCTATATCCGATTATTTTTAACTTATTCTAAATATAAATTTTTAAATTATTTTGCAAAAGTGCAACTTATTCCTACGAAGATATCTCTTCGCTATGACGGCGAAAGCCTGTACAAGTTTTAATTTTTAAATAGATTTAAGATGACTCGTATATGGTTAATTTGATAGACATACGAAAAAGCAAGTATTTCTGTACCTAACAATTCAAAAGTTCACAAAATTCACTTGATTTATTGGTAAACAATTTTTATCTAGTGCCGTCTAAAGATCATTAATAATAAAGGTTTCTAAACGAAAATTTTCAGTTTGCGTGATCCGTTGCGATGTCACAGTAGGTGAATTAACGTTGCCATGACCTTCTATCTACTTGTTTACGTAGATAAGTTATTATACTATTAATGCTGAAACAACCTTAACACGACATAGAATTAATCGGAGAATGTCTCAGACCGGTACATGATTCGTTGCAAATTAATTTCCCGACTAATTTATGAACGTGAACTAAGCTAAAAATACATTAAATATATTATATATATGTATGAAAAAGTCCTCCCGTTCTTAAGAAATCGTTAACATTTGGTGGTATGCTTGCTATTTAATACTATATTTCCTGTCGTACTAATTGAAAACATGTTTTTTTAAAGAACAGGGGGGCGGGGGCAAACGGGCCTAATTTTAAGTGAAAGCCTATGGACACTCTCAATGCCAGAGGGCTCGCGAGTGCGTTGCCAGCCTTGATGAGAACTCGAAAACTAAAATGAAATGAAAGTTGGTCATTGTACCTATTATTCTTGTTTCAGGATGGAAGGCATCCCTTGTGCACATGTGAATTACGTATAACTTTTGCTAACACGACATAACTTGTCTTGAGAAGTGCATACCAGGTACCTAAGTTTTTTTTTGTTAGGATAAATTTGTAAAAAAAACAAATTACAGACATTTATTAATTTATTGATTCACAAAAATACAGACAATACAATAATGTCGAAAAAAATTAAATATAGGCACAACGTTTTTGGGATCTGTACAACAGACTGATTCTGGCCCTTGATACCGCAAACAACCTTCGCCTTCGCCGTCGCACATATCCCCTAGGTTCAAAGAAACCGAGTTCTAGAAGACTTTAAGTATATAGTAGGCCAACTTTAGGTCCCGTTTGTTTCTAATTTCATGCAACCCGTGGTGTACATTATGGGTAAGACAAATAATGTTGGGTACATAGTAGGGATTGATGCCATATAGTCTGTAATAAAGAAAACGAGTAAACTTATTCTGTATGCGCTCCAACATAAGACAGTTTCATGCTTAGCCCAACCAGATGATTTACGCTCTAACATAATTCTAACCAATGCGTTGTACAAGCTTGAGATGTCCTTGTTAGAAAACGTTTTTACCCTTTCAAACTTAAATACCATTCTTTTGTACGCTTTCTTGCAAAGTGTGTGATCCACATAATCAGATTATATCAAATATTAGTCTAAACCTGGTGCCATCACCACAGAATATTTATTTATTTACACTTTGTTACCTTAAACAAAAACATACATATAAAAAATGCAGGTTATATAAATTATAAGGCAGCGGGTGGCCTTATCGCTAACAAGCGATTTCTTCCAGGCAACCCTAAAAAAGAAGGAGGAACAATAAAAAAGAAACACATACAGAGGGTAAAGTACAAGAAGCGCATAAATAATTAACAAAAAAAACTTAAAATAACATGTAACTATAACTAAAATAAAATAAAGTAAAATCTGAAGAAGTAATAATAAATAAAAATATGTATAAACAAAAATTTAAAAGCTAACCCAAAGGTTATCTTAGACACAATTATAATAAAAGTAGTATCGACGTTTCTCTCTTCATAATTGAACATTGTGTTACTAAATTTACAAATGTTGCTACATTTTAATGCCAGTTTTTAACAATAATTAAATACCGACTTTTTTGTTAAAACATCGTGTTTTATAGCAGAAACTGTAGAACGTTTTGTCATGACAAAGTTTAAGGTCATGTCTAATGATGCCCATTTGAATTTATTGCGATGAAAGAACTGAAACGTTTTCGTTATTCCTAAATAGCATGTCATTTCACTATTGTATACTTACAATTTTAACTTTTATTTGAATGAAATATCTATTGGGTTGAAGGCATATCTTTCCAAATTATATAATTTAGGTTTTAGGGCAAGTGTAGTTCATTGATTAGAAAAATTAATGAAATTACTCGGGTAATGAAATATCATCTGTTTGATCGAGATTACATCAGAATAATTACTGTCGAGTGGAAACGTAAACAAAGGCTTCCGTGTATCGAAAACGTTTTTGGAAGACATACATAGCGCGATTCCACATTGTATCTTACCCTTATATGTGACAAGTGGCTGCCACAAAAAGCTGATCACTACTTGCCTAAGAATTATGAAGCAAACAAATGCTTCCTATATAATCTCGGGGAGAGAGGCTATGGCATATATGTAAATTATATTTTATACATTTTCCTTTTTACGACCATCTGTATATGAATTGAGAAATCGATATCCATCGTATTTTCATAAAGGCTGTGTAAATTTCCCGGCAACACCTGCGTCCTGGATCAATAGGCGGGGTCGCTCTTCCATTGGCTGATCTCCGAGGGGCGGATACACAGATGCTGCATGGTAAATCAGATTTTTTTAAGTTTATAACGTTTTTTGTTTTAAATTTGATAAATAATATAGTTATACATCTAGTATAATGTGATTTTTGTTAAATCTGAATATTTCTATACAGATACTAATACTTATCACATTTTCTGCTTATCTAAATTATATCGTTAAAATCTCTTAAATAATCTTGAACACCTTCAAGATCAAGAGTATAGAGAATGCAGTGAAGGAAAAATCTAAATAATTAATACAGGTACTGTTGTAGAATAAACATATGACCCATATCACACTGAGGATAGAAGAATGGAGTTTAATCTTTTGTCACTTCTTATTAGCTAAAACTGGTCAATAAAATTGAATACCATGGAGTATACTGTTTAATTCAAATTAAACCTAAAATAAATTTTATCTTTGTCAAAGATCTGCTAAATCAGCATGGAAGGTTCCAAGAAAATCTAAACCCTATAACTACTAGGTTATAGGGCTTAGATTTCCTTGGATTGTATGACCTATCATACAATCAAATTGCTTTATTTTTAATATCTGAAATAGACCTATTTTAAGAGAATTAGGCATTAGGATTGAATAATTATGTTAATTACCAGCGATTATTTTATCTTTGCAATATTAAGTAACGCTTATTACATATGAAAAAGTTATTTAGAACTCTCATAATCGCTTTTGACTGAGAAAAGATTCTAGATCTAGAATGTTGTGAACATTATTAAGACATTCTTAATTAACTTATTTAATAAATCATATCCAGTACATTTGTGAATAAAAAATCCTAAAGGATACAAGGAAAGGCACCGCCCTCTGAGGTCCAACCCCTCAGAGAGGTCATATAAAGAGAGGGATGCTGCAGTCCGTATCAGTATTTCACTGAATCTGCCGAACGGGAATATTAGTGAAGTGATAAATAACAAATGATAAATATAAAGTTTTGTTCCTTTTATTTTGTTTATTAATGTAAGTACTCTTTTAGCAATATAATGTTTTAATTAGACGTGTAAGAATTTCTGTTATCGGATGCTGAAGGATTTCAAATAAGTTCACCATAGATCTTATGGTGAAATAGATTTAGTCTAATATACTAATACGGCATTAATTTTGTCCCTAGTTGCACCATTTTTTAGGCATTTATTACATGTAGGTAATCTAATAGGCGACATAAAGTATGGCCGTTAATAATAATTGTTATAATTGAAAAATTGTCTAATCATATTGTTGTTACCTACTTGATAATTGATAACTCAGTTGGGG